ACAAAATGCTTAGGGCCACATAACCTGACCTTTTCACACCAAGATGGAAGCTGCCTTATTGTAAATCTGCATTTGGTTGGTCTGCTGCTTGATTATTTTAGACTAAGTCCAAAATTGACATGTGACTAAATCCAACTTTGCCAGTGACTGTCACTCTTCCCGCTTGTCTCTCTCAACAGATGCTCTGACCTTGGAAACCTCGTGCCCAAATAACTCTCTTGTGCATGGCTGGGATTGGCCTTGGAGACAGAGCTCTGGCACCTGCATGTTTGAAAGCCACCATCTGAGACGTGCATCCACTTCAGATGTGACCTTAGTGGGGTGCAAGTAAGATGGGAGATTAAACTGGGGAGAAGGTGTTAACAGTCCACAGGGCCTAGCAGGTTCCAAGAGGAAGCTGCATCCCCAGCACATGCTGAGTTCAACAGGAACTCAGTATTACAGGAAATACTGGACACTCAGTGGCCAGCTAATGGTGTTATGGGGTAACACTCTGCTTCTATTCACAAAATTAATATTAAACACTGTTTACTGAAACTGCTGGTGTGACCACTAGCCAAATACAGTGATGGTGTTTCCATTCCGTCCTGGTGAACTGAGGCATGATGTAGGCATTCTTGTGTCCATTTTCAGTATTTAACTTCCAACTGACACTCCCATTTTGGCTTTGAGGAGTCACTCTTAGTATTTAACTTCCAACTGACACTCCCATTTAGGAGCCAAAATCCTTTTGGCTTTGAGGAGTCACTTTTTTTTTTTGAGTTTAGAACAAGAATTCTGAAGTCTTTCCTTATCGAGCTGCCTCCTTAGGTCTTTAAAATTGAGATTGAAATGCTTAAGCTAGTGAAAGCTAGCTAGCTAACTACTGTCAGTCACTGTTTTAAAAGATAGGGACATTCCTGAAGATGCAGAGGCAGGCAGTCTGCAGCAAAAGAGACTCAGCAGCTCTTGAAGTTTTTGTCACTGGTTTTCCATAGAATTATGCAGTGAGGAGGAGGTTGGGAGAAGGACTGGTGGTGGCTCTTGCTGTTTGGGGGAGGAGGGATTGATGCTAGTGATGAATTTGTCTTTCTCTGAAAGACCAGCTGTCTGACTGTACAGATAGTGGTTACTTCGGTTGTTATGTGCTTAAGGAAAAAGGACAATATCTCTCTCTGTTGTTTGGGCAATATGCAAATAAAATGTGTATTGCCAGGTGGAAAATACGCTCTGCTGATAACTCTACTGATGTAGACCTTCCTGTTTCCATTACAATGATGGACTCTTCACTTACTGAGGTGAGTGCTATCTCCGATGCCTAAGATGGGGGTTTGAATGGGTTCAAGCATTTAGTGCCTTACTAGGATCCAGATTAAGCAGCTATAAATTGGCACTTCTCCAAGGTGAATGGAGCTGGCATCAGTCAGCAGGGGGTTGTGACATCTTGTTCTGTGTGGGATAGTCACTCCTTCTGCAATACCGTAGTTATAGACTCAACTGTCCTGACGTTCAAGTGCACCTGGGTCACGCTTTTGGCTGAGGAGTAGTATTTTAAACGTGGTTTCAAGGACTGAGACTGCTATTTCTGCAGCAATATTCAGTTCTGCCAGGGAAGTCTGAGTGATTTTTTTGCTCTTTTTATCCACCTGCAAGAAACCACAGGATGTTTTAGTTGTGAACGCTGCCTTTCTCTGCACTTTCTCTGACAGCTACCACGTAACTGAAAAATGACATGTTTGCTGTATGGATTCAGCTGGTGTGCCTAGATGTGCCTTCACTGCAGTACTGAATCCTGCATCTACAGCTTGAGCTGTCAGTTGGCTTTCTTGTGGCAACAGCAAGATGAGCTGCAGCTCAGCACACCTAGTTGTACTCTGTGCCACACAGGGCTTCTAACCAGCTTTACAAATGCCAGTATTGGCCTTGGTGGTGATGGTGGAGGAGTGTCCACACAGGGCTTCTAACCAGCTTTACAAATTCCAGTATTGGCCTTGGTGGTGGATGATGGAGGAGTGTTGGTCAGTGGTCAGGGAACCTGGAAATAACCTTTGCAAGACTAATTGAGCAGGCAACCTCAGACCTATCCCAGCTGGCATGTGGTATCTGCAAGTGCAGCAGTGGTCTGCTTGTAGCACTGAATCAAAGCAGACAGTGCAGTGAGGGTAAAAAGTAAGAGTGAGGGGGACTGCCTGTGGTTTTGGAATTCCTAGTTTGTGCTGCTACTACTTAAGCCACCATAAAGAGGATAATCTCAAAGGCTCTGTCTTTATCCAGTCCTTCTGGAAAGTCAAGGCCCTGCCAAGTTGTTTGAAATGCCTGTGTTTTGTTGCTCTGGAGTTTTCTGTAACTCCAGCTGGGCTCAGAAATGTCACTTTCCATTTTTGCCTTTTTTTTTTTTTTAATATAAACTTTCTGTGTGAATAATCTAGAGAGGGGAAAATGAAAATGTTAAAGCTTGCCCCAGAGAAAAGGCAAACAGGCTGTGTCCAGTATCTGGTCTAAAAACTGTCACGTGCAGCAAAATTTGGATATCCTTGTTTAATAGGGAAAGTCTCCCTAGTTTTCTTAATTATACTTCGGCGGTAGATGCATTTGAGCAGATCGAGCCCTTCAGCATGTAAGTAACTCAAATTATTTTGTAAAAGCTTTGTTACTGTGAGAGTTTAGGGGCTATTTATTAAAGGATCTCTTGTGAGAGCCCAGATGAAGCTTGGGCATTTTATACTTGTTTTGATTTATAAATGTTAAAGTCGTATCACAGGCTAAAAGCCAGGTGATAGGCTTTCCAAATACTAATGCTTGAGGAATTATACAAATTCTGGCCACAGTCTTGTCTGTTGTGGTAGAAGATCCTTGAATTATTATGGTAATTGAAGAGATAAAGGGGGGAAAAATTATTAGGATCGTGCTGCAGGCTCATCTTTGACACAATTCTTTGATTAGGAAGAAGAACCATTCTCTAATATCCTGTGCAAATCTGTTTAATTAGGAAATCTAGAGTGTGTGGGGTTTGGTGGTTATGTCTTATTAAGTGTACTCTGTGCAATCCATGGGAGCTCACAATCCTAATGGTCAGTATGGGGTTTTAAGAAATGAATTGAGGGGGTCTCCTTCATTGTAAACAGAAACCACTACCCATGTGATTTCCTGGGGAGGGAGAGGTCACATAGAATAATTAGTCGGTTCCAGATGATTCAAGGGATGTTTGTTGGGGTGTGTGCTTTAAAAGCCCTTTAGGTTTCTTTTGTTTTCATTCCAACATGCTACTCATTTTCACCTTCTCCTTCCCCAAAACTCCTGCAGACCTAATGCCCTGAACAAGGCAAATGCAACGCTGTATTTCCTTAAGCTTAATAGAGAATTCAAATAAGAATAAAAATAGCCTAGATTTGCATTAGAGGAAACTGTGTGACTGGCTGGGGCAGGCCCCTGTGAGGGCAGTCAAGCTCTGATGGGTGAAGGGAGTGGAGAGGAGAGCAAATGCACTTACTGATGCTGGGAGCAGTTGATTGGCCTTGGACAACTGTAGGGATATGTAGGGAGCTACCAAAGCTGGCTAGTCTCATGCCTTCTGTGCTTGGAGATACCTTTGGGATTTTTTTTTTTCTATTCAGCATTCCTCTGTCAGCAGCCGGTGGAGTTCCAACCTCTGTTTTACCCTGTATTGTCACTCACAAGAGAGATCAATCTATCAATTGAATAAGCACGCTGGACTTCTCCAGGGTGAAATGAGGAAGAGGGATGTTTCCCATTTAGTATCTTCCTTGCCATATTAAATGACTTCAGAGGATGTTGGTTTTGTCTGTAATGTGATAAGACTTGGGCCCGAAACCGCACTGTAGCAGCTAAGAGAACATGATTAAAACTACATACCAGCCTTTAACTGCTGAATTCCTCTCTGGTGTTTGCGTATGAAGGAGGAGGCCTGAAGCCCCCTGAACTGGCTAGGTAATTATATATAATACTGAAAACCAGTGTCATTCAAAGGCACGTGATTAAAATATAAAGCATAACATGCAAGTTTTCCATGTTCCAAATCATCTCCCTAGTTGAGCTGTTATTATTAATGCTTTTTTTTTTTTTACCTAAATGAATCTGACATCTATAGCTGAATAAGCTCTGTGCACCTCACTTGTGGGGTTTGAGGTCAAGATCTTGAAAATGGATGTATCTTCATGCACAGCATTAGGATAGAACAATGGTATGGTAATACATACACTTGTCGTTTGAAAACATGCATTAGAAGCAAAAAATGAAGTCAGGAACCAAAATACATCCCTATGTATGATATTCCTGACATGATTTCTGCAGAAACATAGTTATTGCTCCTAATGATGATAACGTGCTAAGCTGTAGACTGGATGGATGGATGGCTTTAAACTAGCAGCTGAATATGTATGCCCTTACTGTCTTCAGTTGAAATAATTTAGGAACAGCTGGAGGAATTATTAAAACTTTGACATACAAATTTTCTACTGACAAGACAAACCTTTCCCTGACACTAACTCTTCTCTCTTTCCATCTTAAGATTGACTGTGCAGAGCCAACACTACCAGCCAGTTTGGTCCCATCCAGGTCAGATTTTGTGCCAGCTTTTAAATGCCTTTATCAAGATTATATAATACGGATGAGTGTCTGAAATAATTTTGTTTTTTGCAGTGATCACTTAACTTCACCTGAAGAAGTTCTTACATCCTCTTTGGAAAGCACTGCCCCAGTAATAGGTAAGCCCTTGATTTGGGGCACAGCTGCGTGGACTTCTTGCACTGAAAGCCTTGGGAATAGGGATGCTCAAGTCTGCACAGTTACTGAACAGTAAGAGCCCTGTCTTCTATGGCCTGATATTATAGGCTGCCTTGTTATGGAGGAAAAATCACCCAAGTGCTCACCTGAAAAAGAGGAAGATATGCCAACTTCTGTAGCAATGAAGAAAAACAACAATAAGGATCCGGCTGGTCCCGAATCAGGTAGGGTAACTGCCGCAGCACAGTGAGGAAATGGCTTGCTTCCAGCACATCTTTGAAGTGAGGAAGTTGAGTAAGAAAAATAACTTAGTGGCAACTTGTGAATTTATGGGTTTGCAAACAATTTTGCCTGCAAGTGCTCTGAGACTCTGAATGGGAATACGGCTTTAACTTACAGGTGGCCAGTGGCCTACAGCATTGTGAGGAATAAATGGGACATTCTGGTGCCTGCTTAGCTGGCAGAACATTGTGGGGCAATTTTGGGAGAAAAGAAAATGTATTCATGTTTTTTAAAAAACATGGTGACGTATAGTTAGACTAAATAATACTTTTTCTCTCTTTCAAAACTGATGCTTACTGCACAAGAAGCTGGGATGGGTCAAGAAGAGAGATGAGGATAGAGGCCTTTTTGTATGGTTCTGTCTGTTGCTATAGCCACAAACACCTAGAAGAATTATCTTATCAAACCTACTGGTGCTTCTTTCCCTTAAAAACTAAAAGCAAAACAAAAGTGTAATACATGTACACAGTGCATTTAAGCTGTTTTTAAAAAACCTAATCTGGATAGGTAGTACAGGATACATGTGCAAGCTTGTTAGTAACCATTTTTTTTTAACCTTTACCTAAATACAAGATTTGTCATAGTTTCTTGTTTGTTTTTGCTTCTTTCTTTAGTACTATCTTCCTGACATCTAATTCAGTCCCCCTCACTCAAGCATATTTTCTTTCTTCCAATTTGCCTCTGCAGTTAATTTTCATATGTGGTTGAGGTGCCTTTGGCAAGGAGGAAACAGATATGCAAAGAAGATCAGAAACAGTCTGAGTAGCTTTAAAGTCTGAGATCCTGCTGCCTGTTGTACATCTCTGAATAGAAAGCGTTTCTAGTATTAGAACAGAGACATTGGTGAATCTTCGCTTGTGGTTTTTGCTAGTACCACACAAGGTCTTCTAAAGGTGCTTGGGAGCCAGGTCAGATATGCAGGGGTACTGCAAAAATCTGCAGGGACAAAAGGGAGAGCTAAATGGAGGATGTTGTTCATGTGAAGGCTGGTGGGGGGGGGGAAAAAGACACTTCAAACCTGAAGGTTTGATTGGATTTTCTCTTGCCATTTCTTTGGCTTGCATCTGTGTGGGGGCGTGTGTATGACTACATAAAGAGAAAAAGTAGAAGAAAAATCTAGATGTTCTAAAAGGTATAAATAGCTACCAGAGTTACTGCTACACAAGAAACTAGTGGATTTCTTAGACTCTCTTCAGTTTCTTAAATATTTTCCTTTACAAATCTTTTTAATAGCTGTCTTTCTGGTGGTTATTTTTGCCTGCCTTTAAAGCTTCTGTAGATTGTGGCCCTTGAAAGTCTGTGTTGCATTTGAAATGGCATTATGGCTTCCTGAATGTACCAGTTCATTACCACTCTTCTGGCAAAGAGAGGTTTTTTTTTTTCTTGGGTCTATCAGCACCCTGCTAGCTCAGTTTTTAGGACAGTCCAAGTGTTAGACTACGCTTGAAGCTTGCAGACACCTGAAATACCAGAACTGCATGCATTTCACGACCTGGTTATGCTCAAGCTCCTCTGTAATAGCAGGTGAAGTAGCATCTATTTCTTGACTTTATCTGATATTCCATAGCATGAAAGAGAACATCACGCATCAGTTTGTGCATGGGTTTTTTTTTTTTAATACGTTTCTGTGCTTATAGAATTTCAAATCAAAATTAATTAACAGTCTTTTTAAATAGCAAACAAAAAAATCCCATGCTGATAACAAAATAATGAAATTAATTTAACCAAGGGAATATTACTGTAACTCTTTCAACTTCAACTAGAGGAACCATAACAAGGAATAATATCCTCACTTATTCATATGTAACACTTATTATTGGGATTTCTTTTTTTCAAGCCAACATAATTATCATCACACTTCTTCCTTTATGTCTTTATATTGTTCTCTGCTGCTGCCTCCTCCTTAATGCCCTCTCCTGGCATTTTCTGCAATTTCTTTTAGCCCTGTTGGGCTAGCACACTGGGTCTTGGAGGTTTATTTTGTCTTTTGAGTTACATTTAGTTTTGGGAATGTTTCTCCCCAGGAACGGATCTGACCAAGAAGGAATTCTGCCCTGTGACGGAAGAACACAAAACTGCGTTTCAAAACATTTTAAAGGAAGACCTGGTAAGAGTCCTAGTAACGTGTTTTGGCTGAGCAGTGACAAAGAAAAACGTTGCAGGGGAGGACAGGCCCCTCCAGTGGTGTTGTGGCTGTTCCCTTACTATAACTACTCTCTGATATGGCTTTAGGAGGTGGACCAGGAAAAGGAAAACAATAAAGAGCGGAGTGAGGAAGCGTCACCCATGGTTTCCAGTAGGAAAGGTAAGAGGTTTTTGCTGAACACAGATGTGTAACTCGCAGGAGTGCGTGCCTGGGTCATCTGTGTCAGGAGCTGTGTAAAGAGGTGCAGAGAAATGCCTGCCCCACACCAGTTATTACGAGGGGTTTTGTTTTAATGACTAGTAGGTGTAGTTAAGGATCAAAACGGGCTAGCGATGAAGAGAGGGAAGATGTTATCATACAAAACCTGCTTCTCTGACTTCTACAGATACTGATCTAACAGACCCCTTCTTCCTCTAGGCAGGAAGGAAAATTTCTTCAGGGTTGCAAAGGAGTTGGGATATTTGAAGCAGTTCTGGCACATGCCTCCCCCCTCCCCAAAGATTTGTAAAGGGTCAAATCTTTGTACAGTGGCATCCTTTCTGCTAGCTAGAGTTTGGGGTGATATGGTATTGAAAAGGTGGCCAATGTTTCCACTTAACTGTGTGCTTAGACATCTCTACTCTTCTAATCACCTCGCCTTTTGCCTTTGGAGTTTACTAAGTTAGTGATGTAGCAAGTCACAAAACATCTCAAACCCATGGGCTGGGGACTTAAAGCAAAACCTATAATTAACTTTCCTATTCTAATTAAATGCCAGTTGAAGCCAACTGAAGAACTAACTAACTTTTGGGGCTTTGTACAAGTAAGATAGCACTCTCACTGGTACTAATCCTAACATACTCTGAAATATGCATTTATTTATTTATTTTTAATTGGCAAGAGCTTAACACTGCTAATTTTTAACAGTGGCTTCTGTTGGAGCTTAAAAAGACTTTCACGAGGCTTAAAAAGACTTTTTAGGAGGCTGCTTTTCGCTTTTGAGAACTTTTTTTTTCCTCTCTTCTCAGGGAGTTCACCCTCTGCAGGTGGCATTAAAGGAGATAAATCAAAGCCAAATGAACCGTAAGTGTTTTGACTTTCAATGATCACCTGCAGGTATGAATTTAAAGCTGCAGTCTGTTACATGATTGCTTCTTCTTATCCTACAGTGAGTCTCCTACTGAGAAAGAAGTGGAGGTAAGTCTTGACTCCTTGTATCCTTAAGTATCTCAGACAACAGAAGGATCTTGTACATAAGCCCTGATTGATATCTAGTCCTGTATAAAACGATGATGCTGAGTAGTCTAACCTGGATGTATTTCTCTAAGTTGTCTTCTGAAATCAGTCTTTCCAATCACAATTAAATTTTTGGAAGGGACAAGAGAAGGTGGCAATCGGTAAAACTGAACAAAAGATCTGTCACTACTAAAAAAAAATTTGTTTGCAAGCTTGAAGGAGGATAGCTGTGACCTTCTCTCAGGGCAGAATGTGTTCATTTAAGACAGATTTGCCAAAAGACACAGATGGCACGCTGTGTGCTGCCAAGATATCACCTATTCTGGCTACAGATGGGACGACTGGTTTTGCAGAAGTGGGCTGTGTTTGCTTTCCCTTCTGTATATCTCCTATAACTTTGTTCAGGGGTATGGTCCCAAGTGTCATGTCAGTATGTAAATCTCCTTAAAGCTTCTGCATAACTTGGATTATTCTGAAGTCTTTTCCTCTCCCACAACAGGCTGAATTTCTGAGGTTGTCCTTAGGTTTTAAATGTGATTTGTTTACCTTGGACAAGAGAGTGAAGCTTGAAGAAAGGTCCCGAGACTTAGCTGAAGAAAATTTGAAAAAGGAGATCACAAATGCTCTGAAGATGTTAGAGGTTAGTGTTGGACAAGGCTGGAAGGATGGCTGGGATGAACGGCTGTGAAAGTGTCTTTCTTTTGCTATTTTTTGGGGGGGAGGGGGGGTGTGTAATAAGTTATAAGCAAATCAGAATGAAGTTCTGAAGTGATGCATTTGGAATATGAGAGACAGCATTTGAGGGGTAGCCTTCATCTGAGCATGCTCAGGCAGTTGGTAGTTTTTCTATTGCACAGGTGTCAGGCAAGAACCCCTGTCTTCAGCTGATTTCATGCTGGATAAGCTGAGGCACCTGCCCGCTGAAGGTCTATATCAAGTTATACTGATCAAGGATGTTGGATGCTGATCTCATGACTGTGTGGGCCTGAACATAACTCCTCAGTGTCATCAGTTGGGTTCACCCTTCTCTCTCTACTAATAGCTCAGACTGTTTTTTTTTCTTACCAATATGCCTCTTAGGCTCTAGTCCCTTTGTGTGAAGAAGATAACCAAGCACAGGAAATCATTAAGAAGCTGCAAAAAAGCTTGCAGTTTCTTGGCCAGTATGCAGCCCGAGTCGCCAGTAGAGCAGAGATGTTGGGAGCTATTAATCAGGTAACCATTTCCATATAAATGTATTTTGTAGAAATTTAAAAGCTTCTAGATGTAAAGGGATACCACTGTCTGTTTGATTCCAGAATAAGATTTGGGAGTCTCATGTATGTTATGCAGACTGACCAGTACAGCTTAGTCCCAGCTTTCTTTTCTCAGATCTGTTCGTGTTTATAAGAAATCCCAGGTGCTGTGAGAGCAGCTACATTGCACTAGCATTGTGACAAAACACACCTTGGACTTAAAAAAAAAAACAAACAACCCCAAACAACCCAAACGAGCAAAAGTCCAAGAAAGAACTTTGCATGAGAGGGATGTATATGGTAGAGTCCACAAGAATGAAATGTGGTAACAGCAGTCCAACTGGTAGTTCTGTGCCTTACAGAAAGGGCAGTTAATAAGTTAAATCTATGGAAATTTACAATGACCTACTCAAATGCTATGTGTAGTTGTGTATAATACCAAAAAACAGCATGAAAATATGACTTAGCAATACTAGCAAATGTATGGTGGCAGCTGAGACTGTAGGTCAGAGAAAGAGATGAGGAGGAGGAGTTGTAAGGGTTCAGAGAATGAAGACTAATTTGTGAGAATAAGGGTAATCACTGAGGAAGTGAGACCTGTGTAAATTGGGCATGTGTGAAGAGATAAGTTGTAGTGAAACTTTGAACGGGTGGACAAAAATGAGAGGATGTTGCATGGCAGTGATGCAAGATGAGAGCAGCTGGTTAGAGGGGATTAAAAAAAAAGTCTTAAAATTTAAACATGATGCAGTTCCTCAAAGAGCCACTTCTCTACTGCTGTTGCATCCACTCTATTAGGAGAGCCGTGTCAGCAAGGCTGTGGAAGTAATGATCCAACATGTGGAAAACCTGAAGCGCATGTACGCAAAAGAACACGCGGAACTTGAGGAGCTGAAACAAGTCTTGCTCCAGAATGAGAGATCCTTTAGTTCTCTTGGAGATCGAGGTAACTAAGAAAAGCTGCTTTGTCTTTCCTTCTCCTAGCACCTGCCAGACAGACCCTTACCTAATTGTAGCTTAACCTCTTAGGTGGAGGGGTTGTGTGGCTGTTGTATGTCCTTTCCTAAAACTAGAGGAAAAAAATAGCAATTTACTAACAGTATTGGAAAGTCTGTGAGATTAGATGTGTGTAAATTGTCATGAATCTCAAGGTGGGGGAAAACATTGCAGGTATGCAGTTGTATTCTGGCTTTTAGAAAAGTGTGGTGTACGTGATGGTGATGGTAACCTTATGAGCAGTGAGTTTGGGTGCTCACCCACACGGGAGTATTCCCAGCAGCTATTTCTAGATAGCTGAGCTCTGACTGATATTTACAGATGCTTCCTGCTCTTCTCAAAATACAAATTGCATGCTCCTTAAGTGCAGGTGTTCTGAATTTCCCCCCCCTAAGCAGATGGTACAATGGTCAGGTTTTCAGATGGCATGTGCAGTTGCATCTTTGCCAGGAGAAGTTTTAAATTCTTATGAAAAATAGAGAATATATTTTAAAAACTGGAAGGGCAGTCTTATACACTGGTAAAATCCTCACAGGAGTCTTTTCAATCGCAGGGTATTTCTTCCTGACTGGAAAAGATTGCCCTATAACAGGATACTGCCTTAATCATAGAACAGTACATTTAATGAGAGCAACAGAAATTGATGCTTGTAGAGGATGTATAATGTGTGAATATTCACTTACCTAATGCAATAGAAAGCTTTTTCCTGAAATCTTTGTTTCTGCTTTCTGAGAGTATGCAGAGAAGCTCTTCACTTAAACAGACACTCCAAAAAGTCAGACTTTGAGTTGCAAAAAACCCTACTGCATTCTTGTAAGCCTTTCTGATGTTTGATCTTTTCACAGATGAATCTACGAATAAAAAGCTACTAAATTCTTTTAACTTTAAGGTAATGGCTCTTACAGCCTAAATTTACAGCTGAAATTAAGTGTGTGTGTATTTGTGGTGTTCTTTGCTTTGTCATGTGCTGGTGCTCTGCTTTACTTGTCTTTGCTTTGTCATGTGCTGGTGCTCTGCTACATGCTTTACTTTGTGGTTTTCTGTCTCAAATATGGGCTGATGTCATCAGACACAAGGATATGTTTTCAATTGCCCCCACCTCTCCCCACCAACCCAAGGGAACTGCATGTGGTCCTGTTTAGAAGATGAAGCATTCACAGAACCTGAAATGGGTGCTCTTGAATGCAATGGTTAAGAAATATTGTTCATGTATATTGTTCATTATATTGTTCATCGGGGCTACAGAGCACAGAAGGGCACAGAGATGGAAAAAATAGGTGGTAGCAGTTCAAATTGACTGTAGAAATTCCTGTGAGCACCATTAGAGGAATTTAGACCTGCTCAATTCCGGTGTTTCACTGGAAGCTGTGTAGCCAGCCTCTCTTCAGATGCTTAGGGGAGGAACAGCAGTTAATGTGGAAAGATACTGCTTTAAAGAATATGGTTTGGGCTCTGCTTATGACTTCATTCTTCTTGGTGTGTCGCTTCAAGCTGAGTATCAACATCTATTTTTCTATACAGTTTCTATAAAAGCAGATGGTATTCTATGTGGTCAGTGAGTAATCCAGTCATTCCTTGATAGTCAGTAATGCCTCTTATTTGCATAGCCATCGTCAGCCCTACGAAGAGTTAGCATTGCAACGTTGCCTAGGAGTGTTGGAAATGCAGGTATTGGGTTGCCACTGGTAAGTAAGGGCTCCCAGAGGGTAAGGTACTTCTCTTTCTCAAAGCTGGCTGGGCTGAAGTGTGAAAATGGCAGTGCAGTAAGTGTGTCCAACTTCTTCTCCAGGCCCAACTCCGTGAACCTGATGGAGATGAACAGAGTGATAAATTCAACAGGAGATCAAGCAGCTGGTAAAGTTACTTGGGCTGGTCTTCGAATAGGATTAAATATTTATCAACTCTAACTGTGCCCTGTATTAAGCAGATTATGGAGCATCTTGCAGTATAATAATGTTTAGGCTACACCTCTCACATTAGCTTTATGTGCTTCAAGAGGTAAATGAGTCTTTGTGACTAAATATTACAACTCTTCTTTTTTTATTTTTTTCATTAATGATTGAGAGTTAAAAAAACTACTTTGACTTTCTTGCTTTAGAACTAAAATAGGAAATCTAGGTAGCTGGCATTGCTGGAACTGGATGTTTTGTGGGTTCTTTGGGTATTGTGGTGTGTTTTGTTCTGTGTGTTGTTTTTTTTTTCTTAAAAAAATAAATCCTAGTTTCAGGCAACTGATTTTGAAAGTTATTTGTCTAAGGCCTACCCAAATGACTAGCCCTCTGCTGAGTTTCTAATTTCCTACTATGTATCTGAAGGGGAAATTAAGGCAAATCTCTTTAAAATATGACAGGGGACGGCTAGGAGCAAAGCCAAATGAGAAGCGCCCTTCGCTACAGCGGTTCATCAGCACGTACGCTTGGGCAGAATACGGAGATGAACATCCTGAAATAAAGTAAGTTCAACAGCAACCTCTTTCCAGATGTGTGTGCAGGGCTGGTCAGTTTGCTGTTAATGAACTCTTTAACTGCCCACTGCCTGATCAGGTCTATAAAGCTAAGAAATTGTGAGCTCTGTCAAATTTAAATGCTGGATGAGAAACCTTTGGAACTGTTGACGCTTGCTTACAGAGATGAGCAGTTGGAATCGCCTGCTGAAGTACAAGAAGAACCACCAAGGAAGGAAAGCATCTCTGAAAAAGGGAAACATTCTTCCAAATGGAACCTAGAGTCAGCGTAAGTTTTTCCTCACATCATGGTGAGGTAAAGTGGCGTTTGGGTGGGGGATGAGGGAAGAGGAAGCAAAGCAGCAGTTCTGGTTTGGTTGTTAATGCCAACTTCTTAAACCCATCAACTGGGAATGAGTCATGTCAGGTGCCAGAGACTCACTCGCTCTTCAGGGAATCATTATTAATCCTGAAAGGTGAGGAGGAGCCTCATACTGTGATCCCACCTCTTGGGGTCACATCTTGGGAGCTGTTATAGCTGCACCACCAGCTCGTGATCATTTATTTCATCTTGGGAGCTGTTATAGCTGCACCACCAGCTCATGATCATTCCTACAAGAATAGGTGTTAGCAAGGGTTTGAGGCCTGTGCTCAAGGGCAGCGTTGGCAGGCACTAAGGCACAAGTAGTTATCAAGACTAACTCCAGGCTATTCCAGCTGATTTATTGGAATATCTCAAGTCAGGGAAGAGAGTGCTGTCCTAAACGAGTGCCTCTTAGAAGCCCCTGCCTTGCAGGGAAGGAGGTCTGCTGTCTTTACAGAGGAACTTTTTTCCATATGGATATCCTATGCTAAGATGCCACCGTGAGCATTCCTGATGGAGGGAGGGAGAAGGAATGATGCTAGTGTGTAAAACGGAGAAGACAACAAATATGTTGTTTCCTGCTATTTGATAAACGATGGAGGTGTAGGATTTGGGTATTCAGTGAGAGCAGGAATTCTCCCTCATCTCAAAAAGGCACCAAAGCCCTAGAAAACAATAAAACATAAGACTACTACTTTGGGTGCTCTCTACAGGCAAGACTTCTTGATGACCATCTTGATGAGGCAGCATTGTAAACCCAGACCATAAGTGACCGCTGTACCTAGCTCCCCCTACACTGACAACCTTCTCACTTTTGATAGTTAAGGATCTGTTTGTTCATTTGTGGGGTCTGGTTTGCTTCAGAGGTTTTCTGGGGTGGGGGAGTTGGGTGGGAAGAAGTTCTGAAGAAAAACTGAACGGCTCTGACTCTTCTGCACAGGTACAATTTGATGTCATCGTGGGCATCCCATTTCAAGGCTTCCTTTTCCAACGCCAACAAAACTCTCTGGGTTTCCGTTTCCATCCTGGTACTGCTTGCTGCTCTCACAAGCTTCCTCACAGGGCTGTCTCTTCAAAGACCAGCAGATGCAGCACCTGTCGGAACTGGGGACTCCTGGACTTCACTACAGCAACTGTTGTGGCCATACACAGGACTTCAACACAACGGGCCACCCCCGGTATAACGCAGGTTCTGGCATCTGTAGTTACACGTGCAAGTTCTGGGTGACAGTCTGAGAAGCTGAGCTAGTATAATTAAGGTTATATTTTGGGGGTTAGTTGGTTGGGCTGTGGGTGCTTTTTGGGGAGATGATTTTTCTTTTTTTTAAAAAGCATGACTTGAAATTACGAAATACTTTTCTTCCCCCATTCTGAGAAAAGTCATCTTTACAAGTACCTAAAAGTACGTTGGTTTTATTCATGTTTACAGTAAAACAGGTAGTAATCTTGAACGTAGCTAACAATTAAATGAAGTGGTCTAGCCACAGGAGAATAAAAAAACTTATTTTTGAACTTTATTTGCATTTTAGTCATGGAAGCTGTTCCAATGATTTGAACTGAAAAGGATTCAAGACTTGAAATGTAACTTTATTGAAAGCTTTTGATAATAAAGTTTAAAAGGAAAGCACGCAGTACTTAAGAGTATGTTAAAACTCTCGTAGCCAGGAGTAGCTGATACACAACATCAATAAACAGGTCACTTGCTGCTTCCACCTTATCCATTGCTTCTTTGCTGGCAAAGTCTTTAAGCATATGGTAGAGTGTGGAGTGAAATTCAGAATCATCTTCTAGCTCTTCTGAAAAAGCTTCACTGGTTTCAGTGATCTTGAGCTTCTGTGCTTTCTCACCATTAAACATGTAAAGAGACCAGTCTTTGTCTTCGATAGAATCTGCCTTAAGATGCTCACTTACCTGTTGCAGGGAAAAAAAAGGGGGCTGTAAGATGAAGCCCATGACACTTACAGTACATATTCTAAATTCTAGTGTAATGAGTGTAATATGATGACAAAACCAAGGTGTTGCTTCGACCTTCTAAAACAATACGAGCACTCTGTGCCTAAGAGTGTGCATCGGGTACTGGACAAGAAGAAATGTCCAGATACTAACAATTAATCTTGCAGATCAGATTGCTATTGCAGTAGGCTGCTACTTGTGAATACCAGCATCCAGCTCCATCATCCTTTAGCCTTGGCTGCAGCCTCAGTAGCTGAGCTATCAGTTACACATCCTGGCACATTCCCAGCTGTCTTTGTTACTGGGACATGTGTCCCATCAGAAAACTCACAAATGCATGAGCTGTAAGGCAGGCTCTGAAGTTTTACTGAACACTGCTAAGAAGTCAACCCTAAATGTTAAAACTGCTGCACTTGAAGACAATGTTTGAGATTATAATAACTTCTGTAATTTGTTTCTATCTCTTCAACTGGGGTGGTTCTGTGCTGTTGTTCTCTAGAAGTGTAGTCTAAATCCACAGACCTTGAACACTACTTTCTCTCGACCTGCTTCTAGATTCCACTTGCTCCAGGCAAAAGCAAAAGCAGATGCAACCAGTGCCATCTGTTGATATGCCCTATCCTCTGCTAGGGGAGCCTGTAATGCAAAAGTACAAGTTAGAAAATATATATACCATTATAATGTGGAAAAAAAAGCTTGCTTTAACCAGAATTCACTGTGTAAGCTGCCAGAACACCTCTATATTTGCCACCTGATTCTGCACAACAGGGCTTCGTCCAAGAAAATGTTATCTATGTAAAAAATAGGTTGAAAAAAAAAAAAATACAAAGAAAACCACCCACTCCTGCACTCACCTTCTTATTCACAGAGACATACTTGTGGGAATGCTCTCCTGGGAAAATATTCACACCAGCCTTTTTCAAACCTGCTCTTAGGTCAAGTGGACTTATCCATTTTCCTGTCATGTGGGAAAGCACATCTTTCTCTTCCACCACTACTGAAGACAACATACACTGATTATCCTGTTGTACAAACCAGCGAAAGCATCTTACTGGTTGTGAAAGCTATTTTCTGCTTTTGCTATTAAAATAGTAACAGTATCTTTGCTCTTCTGGATATTTGCATACGTTATCTACCACTCTGGGCTGTAAACTTTCATCCATCTATCTCAAAGAAAGCCACTTTTCTGTAGTTTTCTGCTGGTCTACTGGCCCATGCTTCTGCTTGATACTGACTCTTAAAATCATGGCTGTTACTGAACTGATTTATATGGCAATGAGCAGATGGATGTAACTCAAACCTTTAGAAGGAACAAGTAGCATTAGTAGTAGGTTGTTGAAATGCTTTTACTTCTCTCTCCTCCCAATTACACGAAGAGGAACAATGTTTAAGTCTTTAGCTGGTGCAGCAGTCTTGAATTCAGCAAAGTACTATCAACATCGAAGGACCAAACAATCATACAGCTGCTTTCTTCTGAGCAGTTCACAGAAAATAATGGAAATTAAATCACCAATCAATCATCTCCCTCACTTTCAACTGGGGAACAGTAACATTCAAATTGCTCTTATGGTTCTTGATAAAGGGCACTGTATTAATTCTGGTGTGGTTTTTTTTTTTTTTAATCTGCAAATGTTTTACAGAAAATAATGGAAATTAAATCACCAATCCATCTCCCTCACTTTCAACCGGGGAACAGTAAGATTCAAATTGCTCTTATGGTTCTTAATAAAGGGCACTGTAATAATTCTGGTGTGGTTTTGTTGGTTTTTTTTTTTTAATCTGCAAATGTTTTATAAAAAATATTTACAATACCTTAATTTGTATCTGAATTGTTGCAAAGACTGTAGTAACTATAAGGAGTGCTTCATCCATACCAGTAGGTCGCAGTTCCCATGCCTGATAGAGCATGTGGCAATGAGCATCCTGGAGAAGGGCTACTGTGTAAAAGGCGTCCATCTCAAAGGTGAGACTCTTTTCTTGTGTTTTATATGTTATGTTGCTGATACCATCAGTTCTCCACTGTTGGCCTTTACCAAAGGGATGCAAAAATTCAAAGAAAGAAGCCTATGTAAAGCTTCTGCTTGTGATGGGTGCTGGGGAAGAATTAATTAGTAAACACATCCTAGGTTAACTAATATTCAGAGTTAGGATAAAGTACTAGGCACAAACCAAAGAGAATTCACTTAAGGTAAAAAACTCCCCTCGTTTTAATTGTCTTGTTCACAAGACTGGGCTAATTTTGACAGGAAAGCTTCTCCTTAACCTCAAAAGAAATAGAAATACTAATGTAACTGTCATTTTTTTACCGACTATATAGCAGTCCATAAGTTCATTTTCAATAGTAACTTCAAACATAAAACCATTTTAATAGATTCTATTCTAGTATCTTCTTACTTCATACTTTTCTAATAAGTAGAATACTACATTCTGGAAATACTCAAACTCGGGTATAAATCCCATTATTCAAACTTAAAATAAATTTATGTCCTAAACCTGGTACCTGCAGGATCCCATCGGGCTATCACAGGATCCTTAAAATATATCACATCATCAGAAAGCCCAAGGGTGATCTGTATGGGTGGATGTGTGGCATCTTCAGCCTCTTCTGGGGGATATGTGTATGACTCCAATCCAACGGCGAGTACCTTTGGCAACATGGGAAAAGGACAGAGAACATTTTTATTTAAAAATGTACTACCTTTCTTTTTTTTTCTTTTTTTTTTTTTTTAAGTCCACTTAATCACCTGTGGAATTTTTCTAACACACCATTTAAAATTTATTAGTACTAATGGTGTGCTAATATTGCATGCTTCCAACACATTTCCAACTACACTGTTGAAGACAGTAGAAGGGCCGCTATGACCGGGCCTTTGAACCCCTTATGTGCCTCACAGTAGGCATAGTCACTTTTTAATAGATCCAGAGTCTTCAAAAAAACCCCAAGAGCACCTGAGAGGCAAAACCAGACATAATTCCACACAGTGTCAAAGGGAATGAAAGATGTCACTGGTAAGTGGCAGTGCAGGTCCATGTGCTCGGCCGGGAACAAAGCTCCCAGGCCTCTCCATCTCCCCACACTCCTGCTTGATTAGTATGCACTGGAATTTCCTTCATTAAAGTTTTTCAGCTTCACTAAAAAAAAAACCTGTAATCTAGGTTAATGCTGCATCAGGCTCCATGAGTGGGAAAACTGGCACACATTGGCTATAGGCCTCAAGTATCTTACAGAGCCTGGCACTGAATTGGTGGTAATCTTATCACCATCCCCGTTTAAGTGTACCTTGAACAACTAACAACTTCTCTCTTTGATTTTACTTTGGCCAAGAGTATGTTTCAGCACAGCAATCTGTGCTAGAAAATACTGATGAGCAAACAGCTCTCCAAGTGCAGGCTGATCTGTTCCCCACAACTGCTCCAAAAATTGGCCTAGTTAAGAAACTCGGGCCTTTAGTTTGCAATGACACACTACTTCTGTACGGTGGTGACGCACCTCCAAACAGCTCTTCAAGAATGACAGGCAAGAGGACTGCACAGGGTGTCATCTCTTGCCTCACTTACCTCCACCATATTCCAGTCCTTGACTTTTTTGACCTGAGGTGGAAGCTGTAGTGCGTCGATGTGGTACACACCACCCACTGGGACAAACTGTTGCAAATCAACAATGGTTTCAGCGGTTAACGCCTCTTCCTTTTCATTTGTATTTTCCTGCATCGGTGGATCCTGACCTAAAAGAAATAAATATATAACCAAACAACATGAGTTAACTTGGTGCTTAAACTAAAACACTGAAGTTTCTCACTTCTACTTTTCCCTTTTGCACAAAAAGCCCATGTGCTTGAAGTGCAGCAATACCTTATAGCAAAAACCTTATCGCAATACCTTATAGCGGCCTTTCAATCCCTGAAGGGTGCCTACAGAAGAGCTGGGGAGGGACTCTTTGCCAGGAGGTGTAATGATAGGACAAGGGGAAACGGTTTTAAATTGGAAGAAAAAAGATTCAGATTAGATCTAAGGAAGAAATTCTTTGCTGTGAGGGTGGTGAGACACTGGAACAGGTTGCCCAGAGAAGCTGTGGCTGCCCCATCCCTGGAGGGGTTCAAGGCCAGGCTGGATGGGGCTTGGAGCAACCTGGTCTGGTGGGAGGTGTCCCTGCCCAGGGCAGGGGGGGTGGAATAAGATGATCTTTGAGGTCCCTTCCAACCCAAACCATTCTATGATTCTATGATAAGTGCTTTACGCTCTGCAGCATTTCAGCACCATCTACTGGTTTTGCTCAAATCTTTTCACAATTAATTGAGATGTGGGGAAAGACACTAGGACAATGAAAAGCACTTCTTGGTTTGGTACTGAGCTTTTTTAACAGATTAATCTCTAATTTTGTAGTCAAGTCAACAAGATTTGTATAGGCATAAGATTTTACTGACAAAATGTGTCACATCATTCATCACAGAAGAATTTCATAAATACACACTACAGTAGATTCCGGACAGGTTTAATAAGATTGTATTGGTATAAAAAGAAATGAGGCTAATAAAAAAATAACAGGCACCTACATGTGCTGAAGGTGAAAGACAGATGATATTTATGAACAGCAAGAGGGATTTAACATGAAAAATAATTACGTAGCTATTACATATATGTATATAAGTTTTAATTAATTGGAAAATGATATTAGAAGGCATCAATACCATGGTGCAAAATGCCTAGAAATACTGTCTTTTAAAACAAACACACCCACATAAAACATTGCACTGGATGTTCCAGAAAGAGGATGGATGTGGTCAATACTGCAAAAACAAGTACTGTAAATCTTACAAAATTTTGTTTTAGAGAGTGAGGTAATCTCAAAAAAATGACAAATATCTATAAAAGATTTCTTCAAGATTTTCAAAAAACAAGTGAAAATGGTGTTTATTTTATAATGTCAGATTTAGTTGCATTATGTAGAGATTTTTATTCTGCTTTTATTCAGACATTCAACAGAACATCCTTTTCCAATTATTGAGAGCAAAAAAATTACAGGAAAAATAAATTTATGTTTTACTAGTAGCCACAGTGGTAGCGTGCACTTTACCTTGCTTTTTAAAATAATCATTAAAAAATATATAAGTGTCTTCTAAACAAAACCATTCTCCCAAGATAAACTAACATCTTGACACTGGTACAATGAAGCTAAATCCCGAGAAGGACTGGCTGTTGTTGCAGTGGTTTTTTTCTTCTCTTCTACCTGGCCACTCATTTTCACTGAATTTCTGGTAACTGAGTATCCTTTCAAATTCTATGAAAATTGGTTGAATGGGTTTGCAAATCATTAACACGCCAGCAAAAGCATAATCTCATAGGCCTTCTCTCCTTACTAAAGCAGATTAACAAACTTGACGACATTCAGGTATAGTCAGAGCCCTTCTGTGCACACACCTCTCACCTAATACTATGGTAGGGATTTGCAATGCCCTACTGAAATAAAATAGTAAATTCCTCCCAATGAAGCCCAAGTTCTTTATATTCTCTGGAATACCACCTTGTTTGGGTGGTCTTTAGGGTTTAGTCTGACAAGTGGTTGCTTGGACTGTGCTCAGCAGAAAGTGTGGCTTGTTTGGGTTTGGTTTTCTTTACAACACGAAAAAGACTGTACAGCTCAGCTAAACTATGCTGAACAGTTTGCAGCTGTTTTATTTCAGAGTGTACTACAAGACACTGACTCTTATTAAACCAAATGACACCACAACACTGAAGAAATTTGTAACTTAACTTATGCGGGACAGATAATACATTTAGTTCCTAGAATTAGGTCCTCTTTTAGCAAAGTAAAAAAAAAAATATCTTGTTCTAAGTGTCTGTTTAAGTAATACTCAGTAATACCTATACTACCTGAGTGCCTTCCATTATATGCCTTTAAATAATTTATTTTTGAGGAAGTCAATCTCACCATACAGCCTGGCAGATTCATGAAGATTGTCTCATCCTTAAACATACATAATTGTATGCATAATAATACACAGATTCATGAAGATTGTCTCATCCTTAAACATACATAATTGTATGCATAGTAATACACAAACATACAGAAACATATTAAATATGTCCCTGAACATAAATATAAATAATACATTAATTATTGAAAATAACTGTGGGTACAAAATCCATCTTCCTATCTGTCCTATTTTCACTGTGCATTTAACAATCATTAATAGAAATGTCAACAAACCTCAAATGTTATCGAAACGTCAATATATTTACAAACTTCGTTCCATTCACATCGAAATGTATATCACAGTGTTTCCATATATAAAATTAAACGTTTCATTTTGCAGTACTGCACATAAACTAACCGAATACCTTGTGAGAGTATGTCCAAGATTTCTGATTTCTTCTCAATTTCCTCCTCTGTCTCACTTATACCAGCTATGCTGGTGGTTTCTTTGAAAGAGGTAGCACTCTATATAAAAAGCAAAAGACATTTTTTTCATTAGTCAGAGACAGACACAGTAGGGAAGAGGGTATCACCTCCTTCAACGAGAAGCAATACAGTCTCACTCCTCCAGCAACATTTGGACCAATCTTGCAACAGGGTCAAGGTTTTAGGAGAAATCACTTCTACTTAGCTAGCAAAGATAGTTTTGATTAAAGGTGCCCTCCAACGTTGTAACCAGACATATAAATAGAGATAAAGAATTACTTCAGTTCCACCGCAAATTCCATCTTGAGCTTTCCAAGTACCACACAAGCACTTCACCTTTTTAGCAGTGTGTGCACTCAAAAATTTGTTTATGCTGACATTGCAGCTAGAAGGGTGACACAAAGAAAACTTAAGCCAACACTGAATTGAAAGCCATGCTAAAACTCTGCCAGAAACCCCACTTGCAGTTGTAGCCTGTGCTTTGCCCATTATATTTATTCCCTTTCTCACACTGTTTTTTATTTTAAAAATATTACCCTAGATTTCCAGCCAAATTTCCAACCCAGATATGATTTCATCCCTGTCTTCTCTGATAGCACAGAAGTAGAGAGAAGGTGGATCAGTGGACGAGCCATCCGTTTGGAGGCCAAGGCACCTCCTGCCAGTGCGTGGGAGGAAGACACATCTCCTGGAGCAGGACAGAAGGTGAGGGGAAAGAAGTGTTTACACACATAAATGTGGGGGATCTCAAGGCAGAGCTAGACAGGAGGAGGGACTGCAGTAGCTGAGACAAGGGAAGTCCTCAGAGGGAACAGAAAAATTCACAAAACTGGACTGAGAGAGAGTAAGACCTGGGGAAAAAAAAAAGAGAAAGAACGAAATAAGCAGCTTAAATGAAGTCTGAAAAATGTAGGTGAAAACTGCCAAGAGACAGGATTTTTCACACAAAAAAGAAAAAAGGAACTAAGAAAAACGGGATTTCAAGCACTGATTCACTACAAGGTATCAGGGACTGAAAAGGAAAAAGGCAATGATTGTTGCTCCAAATGTATTAAAAAGGCATAAAACACGATGGTTCACAGTTATTCGTACAGAAATCTTAGATAGAGAACCTGAGTAAGCTATAATACTCAGATGTAATATCAGATAATACTGAAAGTGAACTGCTCCAAATGTATTAAAAAGGCATAAAACATGATGGTTCACAGTTATTCGTACAGAAATTTTAGATAGAGAACCTGAGTAATCTATAATACTCAGATATAATATCAGATAATACTGAAAGTGAATAACCCAAACTCAGTGACAAATACACAAACCCAAGGCAGCCCCACAGCCCCCAAAGCCAACACACTCCCTTGAGGAGTGGTGATGAGGGGAATCCAGCAAATAGAAACAGCATTGGGACAGCCCTCTCTCCAGTGGCAAAAGCTTCAGACACTGAGCAACCAAATAACTGCACCACCTAGACATGCTGAACTGAATCCTATTCTGCACACTGCTAATTGTCCTAATACTGGGTTCCTGCAGTGATTTGATGGGGCTGTCAGTTTCTCAGAAGCAGAAAATAAGTCACAGGTTTATGGAAATACCTTACAATGGCACCTAACGTTCCTCATGGATTGATCCTATCCTTAAACTGCCAACAAATGCCAACTGCACGGCGACTACCGCACCCTTGACAAATGTCCTCTTCTACCTTCAGTACAACAATCTTCAGCCATTCACTTTCCACCCTCTTGAGAAGGTCTGTGGCACTGTATTGACACAAGTTGCCTTTTTTCTGTAAAACATTTAAGAACCTGGCTCTCTCAGGCACAGGCCACATTAAGAAGTTGTTAGACTGTGACTGGGTTTCAAGTAACAATAGCAAGGTAGAATATCTTTTGGTGAGATTTTTTTTACTTACCTTTCTCCCATCAGAACACATTTCTTTGTCAGTGGGCATGTTGGGCTCTTCTCTGGCTTTCTTTTCCTCTTCTACTGGTTTTTCTACATTGTCATTTGAATGCTGAGTTAACTCTTCACTAGCTAGGACTTCCAATTTCGGCACACTCTGACACTGTAGCCAAAGTGGAGACACATGATCATAATGAGTATGCAATATGCGAATAGCAACACTGCTCACAGCCAGTGACTTTGGAAGATCAAATCCATGCTTCACATCACAAAACACGTGATTTTTGAACCTGTAAATAACAGTTAAAAGAAAAAAAAAATCCCCAGTAAGAGTGGCAGCACTTACTTTTATATTTCTTCATAAGTATTCAAATTTATGTTCTACACTAAAAATCGCCTAAATTCACTATTGATGCAGGGCACAGTCTAAGAAATAGAGTGGGATGGCACGATACGCTTCCTGTTTTGTATTGGCACATATCTGTAACCCCTCCAGAAAAACTGTCCCTGTATTAAGGAGATGAGGAGCTCCTTATCTCCTTATCTGGAGCAAAATTAACGGTTCTGATAGGATAACAATGAGGCAAAATCAGACAGCAGCTCTTCTACACAGTACATTTCTGGTAAATTTAATTTAAAGGAATTAAATTGAAGTTTAATGCCTGACTAACTTACTGGGCAAATCCTCCGTAGGTGAAGTCACCAGATGTCTACATTACAGCAAGCTACATACACGATACGCTTCCTGTTTTGTATTGGCACATATCTGTAACCCCTCCAGAAAAACTGTCCCTGTATTAAGGAGATGAGGAGCTCCTTATCTCCTTATCTGGAGCAAAATTAACGGTTCTGATAGGATAACAATGAGGCAAAATCAGACAGCAGCTCTTCTACACAGTACATTTCTGGTAAATTTAATTTAAAGGAATTAAATTGAAGTTTAATGCCTGACTAACTTACTGGGCAAATCCTCCGTAGGATTTGTCACCAGATGTCTACATTACAGCAAGCTACATCTCAGCACCTTCCACATAAAACCCAAAGATACACAGAGGTAAAGGTAATTTCAACAATCAACAGAATGACATAGCCACCAATCCTTGTGGCAGTGTAGGGAACATGCTAAGAGCAGCAACAGGAGGCCAACTTGCATCAAATCATAGAATGGTTTGGGTTGGAAGGGACCTTAAAGATCATTGAGTTCCAACCCCCTGCCCTGGGCAGGGACACCTCCCACTAGAGCAGGTTGCTCAAAGCCCCATTCAGCCTGGTCTTGAACCCCTCCAGGGATGGGGCATCCTGGGCAGCCTGTCCCAGTGCCTCACCACCCTCACAGTTTAAAATTTCTTCCTGATATCTGATCTAAATCTACCCTCTTCCAGTTTGAAGCCGTTACCCTCATCCTATGACGACATCCCCTTGTAAAAAGTCCCTCTCCAGCTTTCTTGTAGGCACCCTTCAGGTACTGGAGGGGCACTATAAGGTGTCCCCACAGTCTTCTCTTCTCCAGGCTGAACAACCCCAGCTCTCTCAGTCTGTCCCCATAGAAGAGGTGCTCCAGCCCTCTGATCATATTTGTGGCCCTTCTGTGGACCTTCCACAACAGGAGGGTCCTTCCTACGCTGAGGACTCCAAAGCTGGACACAACACTCCAGGTGGGGTATCACCAGAGCAGAGTAGAGGGGCAGAATCACCTCCCTTGCCCTGCTGCCCATACTTCTTCTGATGCAGCCCAGGATACAGTTGGCTTTCTGGCCTGCGAGCCACATTGCAGGCTCATGTCAAGCTTCTCATCAACCAACACGCCCAAGTACCCGTCAAGGCTGCTCTCCAGCTATTCCCTGTCCAACCTATATCTGTGCTTGGGATTGCCAAGACCCAGGTGCAGGACCTTGGACTTGACCTGGTTGAACTTCATGAGGTTGGCATGGGCTCACGTCTCAAGCCAACCAAGCATCTAATTTGTGAACTTGGGGTCTTTCATCAGATACAGAAGTTTCTTACTCATTGCAATTTCTGCACAACCAAAGCCAGAAGAATTCAAACAATACTTATTTTGGGGGTAAGTTCTAAAAATCTTCTAGTAAATGAACATTTATTTTTTAATTCTTGTTTGAAAATGTTAAGTGCATCTCTAAGATGACAAAAAGGATTTAACACTAACCAAAGTGGGCTCTTCCTGCAGGTCAGTCTGACATTGCTCAGCACCCAGCCTTCTTAGTTGTCTTAGCAAAGCTTAAACCAACAGGTCCTTAGTTAAGGCAAAGTACTTTTACCGATTTGTTCCTCAGATTTGTGGAGTGGGAGTAGGAAGTCCACTCAAAAATCTTGTTTTGAAAAATATATCAGTCAAAGGGCAATCTAATAAAAAAAATATCTTAGATTCAGAACCCACTATGGTGTATATTTGCATCCCAGGCTCTAGCATCTTCTATCTAACAGAGAACTGAACACAAAGCATGGTTCACCACTTTGCAAACAACTGTAACAGCTTAGAAGCTATTTAATGCATCGGCAAGAAACGTTACTTCCAGAGGAATTTAAATTCTCTGCATGAATTTTATTGTTTTAATTTAAAAAATTTTCTGGCAGTAACAGTTTTCAACTGCATAATTTTAAGAAACAAATCATAGATGTATCTATTTATAAGTAGACACATATATAAAGCACTCCCATTTCTTTAATAAAACACTGATGTAACTAGTACCTTCCTTAGCAACAGGTTGGTATGAAATCCATCACTTGGGAGTCTGTGGAATGAATGCTATTTAACATGAAAAAGATTATGAGGAACTGGTTCTTTTACTGTTCTGTTTACTCAAATTGGGTAGACAAGGCCAGGCCTCATTTCAAATTAAGAATTTCAGTTTGCTGTACCTCACTTTCTTCTTCATATTGGCCCAAATACAGAAAGTAACGTTTTTATCCTTTATGACTGCCTGCATATTTCCGGATTCAGAATCTTCATACATATTAGCTGTCTGCAAAGAAAAAAAGCCACATGTTTTCTTCTTATTTATATCACTTTGATTTACTTACATTTACAATTGAATAAATAGAAAAACACACATAGGAATAAAAATACGCCAGACCAAGCTTAGGTATGTTGCATTTATGTACTAAAACATGACAGTTACAAAACCAAATCTCTTTGTTAAAATTTGAACTACATTCTTTTTCTTCCTTTGACTTCATCAATTCTGTCAGTCAAATACTGACAAATATGGAGTCTCACATTATCCCCTTCAATCTGCCTATCTCCCTTAATCATATGCCCTCAAAAAAACCTCTCAGGACAAGTTAAATTAAAAAAAAAAAAAGGAAGGACTTACTGAGCTTATTTTATAATTCTGTCAATTTCAAGCTTATGAAATGACAATTATATTAGGAGTTTAATGCTAAACTCAGTAAAGACAATCAACAATTTAACATTTCTTAATGGGTTTTGACTGTGAACAAACATACAATTGATTCACTATTTCCTTTTTTGCTAAGCATACTTATCTGTATATGTACTAATCTATATATGTACTAATCATACATATATGATTAATACATTTAAAATAGCAAGCAAGATGACTACCTAAACATACAACCCACGGAACAGATTTCAAAGTCCATTTTTGTTTTTCTGTTTAAATACTCTTTACATTTCCCAAGATTTTAGTTTAAAAAATGTTTTAGTCATATGAACTTGTATTAAAAATTACGTACAAGCTAACCTTATGACCTGTTTTTCATGTTTGTAAGTTTTTATATAGTCAACAAGCTTTAATTTAGATCACTGAGACAAAATAGGAAACAAATTTCATACAGCGCCCCTTGTTTTCAACATCTCCAGATCTCATGAAATTTCACAATAATTTAATCTTAAATGTCTTAATGATGGGAATTTCCACTGGAAAGCTAAGATTTTCATGGGTTTTGAAGAATTACAAGTCTGATACCTGCTATACATGCGATCTGGAAACTCAAATGCTAAATTTGGAAACTCACATACTAATCTCTATGACAGTTTAAGAACAAACAAAACCAACCATCATAACGAGACACTTGGAGTTAACCTTATGTGCACTGTGCATATTACAACTTCAAAGGCGTAAATCTTACTTTCAGGAGGTGCTCTGTAGCTCCATTGTACTTCTGATGAAGCAGATTCTGCAGTTCCAGAATAGATTCCTGGTACTGGAGTGTTTCTTTTTCTGTTATCTCATTTGGTGGTGTGTCCAATAAAAGAAACTGCAACTTCTCAATTAACTAGAAGACATTATATGTGGGAAAAGTACCTCTGTTTTGACACCATCCTTAATATATTGTGTGTTATGCCATAAAAAACCTGAGGCAAACTTACTTCCTTTGTACCTAAACATTTCTTGGTTGCAGATATAATCTTATCTATCTCTAGAAATTTTGCTAAGCCAGCGTTATCAGATAGACAGTCAACCATGCAAAATGCTGGAAATTCCAGGCTCAAGTCTGCCTGCCTTCATTCCTCCAGTCCAATTCCTTCATTCCTTTACCTGTGAAATCTTAGCTTATGAAATAGATCATTTATTGAACTGGATTGATCATATGAAGAAACCTTTGGGTCAAAAATTAGTTTTAATGAAAAGCTTACAGCTTTATTTTGGAACATATTTTCTATCGTAATTATCTCAACTATGAAGTCTTAAAAAAAAATAGGAAGACATAGAGCAATTACATACTAATTCTTAGAACAATCCTTATTGTGAAGCCTAGAACTCTGTCATAACATTGCTGTCTTCTACTACATGCTAATATTTTAATACCTAAATGCTTGTACAGAACTAAAAGAATTCATAGCTGGCCAAAGCGACTTGCAGCACCGAGATCAAGGGAGGATGAGATTATATTTTATGCCTCCCTTTCAGTGAAGTGTTTTAGACCAAGAGAAGACAGACTTTTTGACATCACCTTGTATTTCCAGTAGGGGTGAAAAAACCCAAAAGCCTATCTTCTAGTATCATGTATTACTCCACTGAGCACACACTGCAAGGCAGCACACGTCTACAGCATCTGAAGTAGGTGTCACTGCCTTGGTGTCGAGTGGGGTAGGAAGTGTGTTGGGCATTTGTGGGAAAAACGTGACAGCAGGGAGAATTTCACTGAATTTCACTGAATTTTAGAGTTGGAAGGGACCATAGAGATCATCTAGTCCAACTCCCTTGCTGAAGCAGGATTGCCTAGAGCTTATGCAACCCAAGATATCATTGGCCTTCCTGGCCACAAGAGCACACTGCTTGCTCATTGTCATTTTACTGTACACCAGGACCCCTAGATCTTTCTCTTCAGTAGTTGCCTCCAGCAGGTCCACCCCTAACCTATACTGGTACCTGACATTTTTCTTCCCCAGGTGCAGGACCCTACACTTTCCCTGTTGAATCTCATGAGGTTCTTCTTTGCCCAGCCCTCCAGCCTGTCCAAGTCTCTCTGGATGGCAGCACAGCCCTCTGGGGTGTCAGCCACCCCTCCCAGTTTGGTATCATCAGCAAACTTGAGAAGAGAGGAGAGAAGGAATGAAAGCGGGCACTTGCCAGGCTTTTTACTTGGGTCTTGAGAAGAGAGGAGAGAAGGAATGAAAGCAGGCAGTTGCCAGGCTTTTTACTTGGGTTGCAGTGCAGAAGAGAAAGGGAGGAGCTACCTGTTGAAATTCTTGGAAGGGATCAGCACGTTCCCCGCCAGCTCAGAAAAAGGCAGTACACGGAAGGTGAAAATTGCAGCACCCAGCAAGCATTGCAAGACAGGAAATCTAACACCGAGAACCAAACCAGCCCAAGGCAAGTTGTATTACACATGTGACTTTCACCCCCAGTTTCTGGAAGACCACATTGAACTTTCTTAGCAACCACTATAATGTTAGCATAAATGAAAATACAATCCTACATTTACAGAGCAGTGACAAATTCCTTAAAAATTGCCTCACAAACCGTCGGTGGTTGGGGGCTTGCATCTTGGGAACTCCTGCTGACAAATTCCTTAAAAATTGCCTCACAAACCATCGATGGTTGGGGGAACTCCTGCCCTTACGTGACAGTTTACAGGTTGTAAATGTTACACAATAAAGCTGCTGCCACCAAAGTATCAGTTTACAGGTTGTAAATGTTACACAATAAGGCTGCTGCCACCAAAGCATCTATATATCACAGAATCTTCTAGGTTGGAAGGGACCTTAAAGATCATCTTGTCCAACCGTCAACCTGACTGACAAAAATAGACACCCACACAACAAACAAGGAGCATCATCACTAAACCATACCTCCCAGCACTACATCAACCTGTCTTTTGAACACCTCCAGGGATGGTGCCTCAACCACCTCCCTGGGCAGCCCATTCCAATGCCTGATAACCCTTTCAGTGAAAAAATTTTTCCTAATATGATATGAGCTTGTAAGTTCTGGCTCATGTTTCAAGTGTATGTAGCAGGGAAGATGGATGTTGGAATACTAGGCCTCAGTGTAGAAACATTACACACAAAGCCCCTAAATGTGCTGCATATTTAAAGTCAATACTCATCTTCTTTAGAGTTAACAATAGATCTGTAATTAAAAAACATAAAAACTGAAGAAAAACTTCAGGGTTTTGAAGGTTACAGCCAATTTCAGTCATTTGGCTGAAAAAAAAAAAAGGGAAAAAAATGAAGGGGTAGGGGGCTGTTAAGGAAAATACCATTTTAACACTTACATTTAGCACATGTTCTCCCTTCTCCATCACAAGCTGAATGTCCTCATTTTGATCTTCACGCCATAAGCTCATGAAAGTATTTATTTCCGGCAGTACCGTTGGGTCAGGACTTCCATCACAACTGAGGTAGTGCTCCCACTACAGAAAATGTTCAAAGAAAAGTAGATATGGGCAAATATATTATAGTGATACATTCACACCAGCATCTACACAGGACTCTAACACCACCTGGCTTATCACTATGCCAGAAAAAAATCATCTACTTTTATATTAATAGGTTAAGTTACTTGCGCGCACCCAACATTTGCTGTTTACACTTATTCATCAGTGGTTTCTGTTCTGCCAGGTAGAGCTTGCATGTCTACAAAAGCAAGGAATTCAGTACCTGCCACAAATGAGGGGCATAAATGAGGGGAATAAATGACTGAGAACATAAATGAGGAACCGGTGCAGATGGAAGAGGCAGATGGTTCACAAACCAGATACTGCCAACAAAACCAAAAAATTCCTACACTGGCAATAAAGCTGCTTAAGAGCCTTCTACTCAAACATGTTTATTCCTCCTTTCTCTGCCTCTGAAGGAGATTTCCTCCCCTTATCAGCACCGATTCAGCCGTAAGAAAAATCTCTGGTGGGAATGTGAAACCCTAGATTGATTGATTTATTTTTAAACAATTTTATTTTCAAATCAATAATTGGTCATTCTTACACATGGGGGAAGAAAAAAAAGTCAGTGACAGGCTAAACCCACTTACCTCTACACATAAGCCTAACGTTGGCTCACGGGATCAATTTATCACCTATAATGTAATGTTTATCATCCATTGCTGTTTACTGTCAAGATTAATAATGCAATATTACTGCAGATTGCATTGCAATGTAAAATGGATAATTTAAAGCAAAATCTCTTGTATAATTGCAGTGTCAACCGCTTCCATAACCATTTCCACTGAATTAAAAAAACCCCACAATAATAGGTGAGTACTCAGTGCACTGAAAATTCCTGTATAAAATACTGATCAGTCTTTAGTAATTAGAACATCTGATTTCTTTTTTCACATCTTTGCGCTTAAAAGACAGCTTCAGTTTCATCATCAGGAAAATACATCCTTAAAAATAACAGCGCTTGTTCTTTGAGAAAAAAGGATAAATTTCATGATAATTTGTAAATGCATCTGTTAATCTGAACTGAAATTGTTCAGAAACGGACATGGAAACTCAGAATTTGGTATTATCTATTTCTTTTGCCCTAAATATTCTTAACAAATATTCTAAACAAATTCTGAATACAAAATCTGGTATTTCCCATAATCTACCAGTACTTTATTTGAAGATTTCTTTTTAAAATAATAGTTCTATTTTGTCATTTCTTTTCAAAACAAAAAATTGCTTATATTACTTCTTCCAAAAAATACTCCTCAGAAACATCCATAAACCACAACTGTCCCCTTTTCAAAGGGGCCAACAGATTCTCTTGTTCACAAGGATGATAAAGTCAGAGCTCATCATCAACTGAAAAAGGTAATAAAAATCATCCAAAGGTATCAAAGATGTAACTGGGAAGCTATCATGCGGCACTTCTGTGGCAACGAAGGCCAAGGGCTACAGGCCAAGGCTACAAGAGTCAGAGTGTAAGCAGCGATCCCGGGACTGTTCCCTCTGCAGGGCTCCTGAGGCCACATCTGCAGTGCTGCAGCCAGGTTTGGGTCCCTCAGTACACAAGTGGCAAGTGGGAGAGTCCAGAGGTGGGACATGAAGATGGTTATAGTCCTGGAGGAAACAACTCGGGAGGAAAGGCTGAGCTTTGCCAGCCTGGAGAGGGAGGAGCTAATTGCAATCTACCAGTACCTAAGGAGGGGTTATAGGGAAGACAGAGACAAACTTCTCCCAGAAAGGCACAGGGATGATGTGTCATAGAATCATAGAATTGTCCAGGCCAGAAGGGACCTCCAAAGGCCATCTAGTCCCACCTCCCCGCAGTCAGCAGGGACACCCCCAACTAGACCAGCTCATCATCAACTGAAAAAGGTAATAAAAATCATCCAAAGGCGTCAAGATGTAACTGGGAAGCTACCATGCTGCACCTTTGTGGCAACGAAGGCCAAGGTCTACAGGCCAAGGCTATGTCAGGCAGAGTGTAAGCAGCGATCCCAGGACTGTTCCCTCTGCAGGGCTCCTGAGGCCACATCTGCAGTGCTGCAGCCAGGTTTGGGTCCCTCAGTACACAAGTGGCAAGTGGGAGAGTCCAGAGGTGGGACATGAAGATGGTTATAGTCCTGGAGGAAACAACTCGGGAGGAAAGGCTGAGCTTTGCCAGCCTGGAGAGGGAGGAGCTAATTGCAATCTACCAGTACCTAAGGAGGGGTTATAGAGAAGACAGAGACAAACTTCTCCCAGAAAGGCACAGGGATGATGTGTCATAGAATCATAGAATTGTCCAGGCCGGAAGGGACCTCCAAAGGTCATCTAGTCCGACCTCCCCGCAGTCAGCAGGGACACCCCCAACTAGACCAGGTTGCCCAGGGCCTCATTGAGCCTCACCTTGAGTGTCTCCAGGGATGGGGCCTCAACCACCTCCCTGGGCAACCTGTTCCAGTGCTCCACCACCCTCACAGTGAAGAACCCCCTCCTAATCTCCAGTCTAAATCTGTTCCCCTCCAGCTTGAAGCCATTTCCCCTCGTCCTGTCACTGCAGGCCTTTGTAAACAGCCTCTCCCCAGCCTTCCTGTAGGCCCCTTCAGGTACTGGAAGGCCGCTAATAGGTCTCCCTGGAGCCTCCTCCAGGCTGAACAACCCCAGCTCCCTCAGCCTGTCCTCGTAGCAGAGGTGCTCCATCCCCCTGATCATCCTTATGATCCTCCTCTGGACCCTCTCCATCACGGCATAGGCAAAAATCACCAAGTTGTAACAAGGGAAATACCAATTGCATTTAAAAGGAAGTTGTTACAATGAGAGTGGTAAAGCAGCCAACCTAGGCTGCCCAGAGATACTGTGGTACTGAGCACCTCCATCTACTTCAGTTATTGTTACAATGAGAGTGGTAAAGCAGCCAACTAGGCTGCCCAGAGATACTGTGGTATTCCCACCCTTAGACATTCTCAAAACCCAACTGAGCACCTCCATCTAACTTCAGTTTGCCCCACTTGGTACAGCAGGTTGAAGTATATGAGTTCCAGGAGTCCCTTCTAACATGATTTATCCTAAATTTGTCCCACAAAGGCTTTATAAAGGATTAAGTAATACACAAGACAAAGAGAAAACCCTTGTGTCTACAAGTCTATTTAACCTTGCTTGGAACAAAACTGACCAAATATCTTTCAGACAGTTACTGAATGATGTTTGATGGATTTACAAGAGTTCTACTAATGTGTTTCCATACCTTATTATTTAAAATTTAACTTTACAGGCATGTCGTACTATTGGGTGATAATTCAAACTTCATTTATGTCACCCTAAACTGCAGGTATTAACTCTTAACTGCATTTTCACGTATTTCAAGCCCTGATATCTGACCTAGATTTGCACTGTGTCCTTCAAAGTTTTGGCAAACCTCTCTCCAAATAATGACCTGTGATTTCCAGGAACCACTGGTACAAATGTTGTCAATTGTCTCAAATTCTACAAAACTATTTTTAAGCTCTGGTAGAGATTTTTTTGTGGAATGTTTCAAAGTATTAAGAATTAAACAAACAGAAAAGGAAAGACAAATTACTGCTGGGGTAAGCTGTGTTACCTAATACTTTATCAGCCACACAGGCTCCTCTTTGGCCACATTTCTTCTCTGCATACACAGAAATATAGAATATAGAGGAGAGTGAGCATAGCCAGTTACTACCTTGAGATGGAACTTGAAATGCAGTCATAGCACGCACCTAAATTCAAGAAATGGAAGCATTCCCAGGTCCTGCAATGGTGATGTAGCCTGAAGTCTCTTCATTGTCTAACCTCTATGACAATGGGCAGATTTTGGAAAGAAAGCTTACCTTTGCATTTTCCCTATAATCTTTTTTCCACTGCTGTGCAGACAAAAACTTCTGTTCCAGTGAATGAAGTTCTGCTAGTTCAGACTCCCTTCGTTCTTGATCCTGTTTTTATATATATACATATCAAACAGAGGAATTAAACATTTTGTTTACTTCTAACAGTTATTTTATATCAAGGGAAAAAATTGGGGATATTTGAATGCATTTTCATTTCAACAAATCCAAACACTGATAACTTGCTTTTTTAATGAAACATTTAATTGAGAAGACCGCAGCAGTTTGCAATATGTTATTGTTATCACATTAGTTGCTGAGCCATATGATAAACGTAACGTGTCATATGATTTTTAACCTCTCACTTGAACAGTTTCCATTTTCCTGGATCTAGCTCTAATTAGAGCTGCTAAAAAATGCAAGCATATGGAAAAATGTGTGCAAGATATTTTTTTTTCCTTATAATTTCTATCATTTTAAATCCCTCCTTTTCCTATGGGAAAAAAATGTTCTGTGAAGGACAAGGGGAAAAGGCAAGAGTGATTTTTTTCTGAAAAAATAAAAAAGATAGTTAAAGAAAATGTAGTAAATCTCCTTTTTTAAAAACAAAACAAAAAACGAAAAATCACACCAAACCAATATTATTTAGATATCACCAATCAGTTTTTGTTCTGAACTCCAGCCTTCTCAGAAAAATAAACATAGATATTTAAATACACACACACATATATATACACACACATGCACACACACAAATCAACGCATCTGCCCTAACAGGTAACCCATTCTCGAATTTATACCAAAATTTTCCTGCTGAAGCAGTACCAAATGTAATTATGGGGAACATAAAAAAATACATCCAATTGAAAGTATAGTGAAATAGGGAAAAAAGAAAGAAGTATTCATTCAAACTGGAGTATCACATATCCCAAAAGTTAACATATTAAACAGCATCATCTTTATGTGTCAAAAGCAGGGAAGACTATCTCATCTCAGGGAATTTTTCTGAATGAAAACCAAACATTGGCTTAGTGAAAGAATACTATAGAAAAAAAATCAGCACCATTTCTCTTGACTTCACATGCATTTTGTTTTACTCAATTACTAATCCAGCCCACTAGCTTCTAAACTGGCAGGATCTTATTCAAGAGTACCTTTCAGTGACTTGGCTAGATTTTTCATGATTAATTTTAATATAGTGATGAAGGAAATTTTCTCTCCCTTGTTCCCAACAACAGGGACCTGAGGAAATGCCATTCTCACAATAAATTAATAATTTGTCACCAGTTTAGAAATAGGATTAGAATTTTTCAGTAACCATTGAGTATGAACTAACTTTTGCCTTGAGTTTTTCCATCTGCTCTTGTACAATTCTCTCCTTTTCAAGTCTCGCTGCTTCTTCTTGCTGAGCTTGCAATCGAGCTTCCTCTGAAGATTGGGAAATATATCAAGATCATAATTACGTTTTGCTTAATAAAACCAGACAAATTATTTTGTTATTTATTTGCTGTAATAACAAAACAGCCATAATAATGAGCAACATAAAGTCATATCTCATATTGCCCAGAAATCTTCCCAATGAGCCAAGTTAACTTGAATCATAGTACTAAACCACACTGGCACTACCCCCTGTCAGCCTGTGGACTGGTAAATCCACGTGCAAGTGGACTTACTAGACACAGAAGTGGACACAAGGATGACTACGCCCTCTTCTTCACTTCAAGAAACAGTGGCAGGAGTGTCCTCTCCCTTTATTTACAGCTTCAGCAGGCCCAGGTTCTTAATCCAATGTCTATGGTGAAACTGCCCAAGTGGTTCAGCCACAAGTGAATCTTCTCCTTTCCTACAGCCTCCCGTGGGCTGTAAGACCTCAGTCTTACACCTAGTTGTTCATTCAAGTCCTCTTCAGGACCAGTTACTCCTGATCACGGTTTTAGCTTTTCTTTGCTGCCATAGGGACTAGAAAACTGGACGTGAAAACTAAAATTGATTTCATTTCAAGCTACCACAGCCTCTGGACGTGAAAACTAAAATTGATTTCATTTAAAGCTACCACAGCCTATAGAATCATAGAATTGCCCAAAGATGACCTCCAAAGGTCATCTAGTCCGACCCCCCCGCAGTCAGCAGGGACACCCCCAACTAGACCAGGTTGCCCAGGGCCTCATCGAGCCTCTCCTTGAATATCTCCAGGGAAGGGGCCTCAACCACCTCCCTGGGCAACCTGTTCCAGTGCTCCACCACCCTCACAGTGAAGAACCCTCTCCTCATCTCCAATCTAAATCTGTTCCCCTCCAGCTTGAAGCCATTGCCCCTCGTCCTGTCACTGCAGGCCTTTCTAAACAGGCTCTCCCCAGCCTTCCTGTAGGCGAGGTCTCACCAGAGCAGAGTAAAGTGGCAGAATCACCTCTCTGGACCTGCTGGCAATGCTTCTTTTGATGCAGCCCAGGATGCGATTGGCCTTCTGGGCTACAGCTGCCCACTGCCTGCTCATGTCCAGCTTCTCGTCCACCAGCACCCCCAAGTCCCTTTCCTCAGGGCTGCTCACCCCCTAGTTTGTATTGGTGGCGAGGATTGTTCCGGCCCAGGTGCAGAACCTTGCATTTGGTCTTGTTGAACCTCATGAGGTTCACCTGGGCCCACCTCTCCAGCCTGTCCAGGTCCTTTTGGATGACATCCCATCCCTCTGGTGTATCGACAACACCACACAGCTTGGTGTCATCCGCAAACTTGCTGATGGTGCCTTTAATCCCCCTGTCTATATCATTGATAAAAATGTTAAACAGCACCGGCCCCAGCATGGACCCTTGAGGAACACCACTTGTGACTGGTTTCCATCTGGACTTTAAGCCATTGAGTACCACCCTCTGGATGCGACCATCCAGCCAGTTCCTTATCCACTGAACAGTCCTCCCATCAAATCCCTACCCCTCCAATTTGGCAAGCAGGATGTTGTGGGGGACCGTGGGAGACGTGCATCAATCCAGATGTTCCCAAACAGTAGCCTGAATGTCCCTGCCTACAGGTATAGTATACTACAAGTATACACAAGTATATCTGTGTCGCACAGAGGCAAGAGCAACAGCCGTTCCCAAATCTGCCTGTACTCACCTGAGCCGCTGCTCCCACTCACCAAGGTTAACTAGTGATTACAGAATCACAGAATCACAGAATCTTAGTGGTTGGAAGGGACCTCTGAGATCATCGAGTCCAACCACAAAAAAAACCAAAAAACAAACCAAAAACCAATACAAAACACACCACACCAAACGCCCACCAAAAACACCGCACCCACCAACTAAACCCCACACTCAACACCTCACCATAAACCAATAACCTTGGGCACTAGAGCATGCCCTGAAGAGCCATGTCTATACGTTTCTTAAATCCCTCCAGGGATGGTGACTCCACCACCTCCCTGGGCAGGCTGTTCCAGGGCCTGACCACTCTCTCAGTAAAGTAGTTCTTTCTAATATCTAATCTAAATCTCCCTTGCCCCAACTCCATTTCCTCTGGTCTTGTCGTTCGTCCCTTGGGAGAAGAGGCCAACACCTGCCTCTCTACACCCTCCTTTCAGGGAGTTGTAGAGGGCAATGAGGTCTCCCCTCAGCCTCCTCTTCTCCAAACTAAACGTGCCCAGTTCCCTCAGCCTCTCCTCATAGGACTTGTTCTCCAGGCCCCTCACCAGCTTGGTGGCTCTCCTGAGTAAGTAGTCACTTACTATTACTAGCAGTCATAGCATGCCCAAACCCCCACCAGGCTGGATTAATGGGAGAAACAGAAGCAGAGGGGATGGATCTGATGCTCAGAGAGGGGTATCGGGTTGTGATACTAAACTGCAGAAGCAGACACATTTAGATGGAGAGGATGGGTCAAGCCATGCAACTGGAATTTCATTTTAAGGGCTACAGTAAACAGAAAGATCTTGAAGAAGTGGGTGGAGAATCAGTCACTCAGTAGAGACAGAAGCAGCCCAAGCAAACTACACTTTAATCTTCCTAGTTTGTTGTCACCTTAACTGCTAACCCTTCAGAACACCAACTAGCCCCTTGCCAACAGAAGCATTCTGGAAATTCTGGAAAAGACTTTTTCTCTGGAAAAAGTCTTTTTCAGAGAATTTCTCTTGACTACTGATAACTAGGCTTGAGAGGAAAGAGGGGGAAAAAAAAAAAAAAAGAAATGCAATGCCTTGTGGTTTTCTAACTTGCTGAGAATATCTCAAATGGTAATTGTAAAAGAGAAAAAAAAAAATCTAATTTGTCCAACCATTCACCTTCCCAACTTCCTAATGGCAGGAGAAACAACTAGATAATAGAGTATGGCTCTAATAGGAAAAGTGAGCTGTGGGAGGCGGTAACAAGTAACACGGATTTTGTCCCACACAAGAAAAGAGGGAGGAATCACCTGTGTTTGTGAAATAGAGATAGATATTGATGCACATATAGCTTCAGAAATTACTTTCTGCCCATTTATTTAAAATGAGTGATTTGTGCCATCACATTCCCTATACATGAAATGCATAGTACCTTCCTCTTTCAGCCTCCTTTCTTCTTCTTCTTTCTGTAGTCTCAGTTGTTTAGTTCTCTTTTTGCCACCAGACTTAATGTTTGCAATAAATTAAAAGAAAACAAATGTTAATATTACTTTAACACATTTTAGGATGTATTCACCCTCTATAACTTTGCCCTTTTAATCTGATCCATGAATTAAGATTTGAGATTCCCCCCCACAGTCAATGAAGCCTCCGGAACGGCAGATCACACCATGGTCTCTATGTTCTTCTCATTTTCATGATGCAATATATGCTCTTACAATTAATATATTATTCTGCTAGACACTCCTGAACACAGCCACACCAGGGCAATTCGAAAATTTCTTGTTTTAATGTGGAAATTGAGTAACAGCTAGATCTGCTAAGTGGATATTACAAATTCAAATGTTTTGAGAAATATTCAGAAGTGTATTTAGGGATATAGGCAAGTCTGGCATTTAGAAGTACCTAATGCACAAGACAACTAACAAAGAGTTATCTTTACTGTTATAAAATCCTAACTGCAACTCAAGACAGTTTACCATTCAACCTCTAGGTTAATCCTAGAACAACTATATTTTAAATTTGGGGTTCTCCGAAATTATCTTCCTTATCAATTCTTTGCAGTCTGGGTAAACATTAAAAAAAAAAAAAGGCAAGGTAAGTAATATCCAAAATCTACTGCCATGTAACAGATTAACCAAAATAGAACACTTGTTTTTGTCTTGTAAGTCATGGCATTCATAAATTCCTCACTGATGATACACATAAAAATGTGATAATTCGATCTGTGCACATGAGGCCACATTGCCTTCAAGAGATTTGAACAGCTAGGATGTGGAAAGCATAATTCCCTTTGGATTTGAAGATTCAGATTTGGCCCCTCATTCTTGCCTCACCAGCAAACGGAAGATTCTTGGATGGGGTTTTATTTTTACTATAATTTTGTTTGGGTTTTGTGCTTGGTTTTTTGTGTTGACACAGTCTTGGGATGTTTAATCAAACATGTAGGATGAGCACTGTCACTAGAAAACAGCATTTAAAGACACTCGAGGACGCTGATTTCCTGTTAATGCAGTAGCTAAAGCAGCCTAAGGCTGCAATCCTCACCAAGCACGTGGTTACTAAGGAATAAAGTATCTTTATTCAGTTTGACTCAGCGTTTACACAAGTATTGCATTGCATTGCACACATAATATTGTATTGCACACATAATAAACTTGCAGTCAATGTGCCATGACTCCATCTGGGGTTGAAAGAATGATACTGGGGAGGCAGATGCTGCAAAGACAAGGCCTGAATATAACAGATTTAAAAAAAAAAAAAACAGGGCTGGGGAGGAGGAAGATCAGTCAGGAAGTAAACCGAAACAAGTTCATGGAGCTTGCAAAAACAAGGAGGCTGATTTAGTATTGAATTGCAAAATTAATTCACAGTCAACATTATTTATGAGTGAGACAGATTAGGGTTGGGGTTTTTTTTCGGCAAAATTAATTCACAGTCAACATTATTTACGAGTGAGACAGATAAGGGTTGGGTTTTTTTTTTTGTATACATGAGAAAATAAACCATGATAATGCTGCATAGGCTCCAGCATATACAGAAATCCAGGAGTGACAGCAGTCTAAGGCTGCTAAGCGCTAAAGATCAAAGGCATCTGTTAGGAATCCAATCCCCTTTTTCCTCAGAAAAATGGATACAGAATGGTACCAAACCAGCACAACAGCACAGTTCCCATCTCGCAAAGGTGTAAATAAGGCAATAAAAGACAGGGAGAGACAATAAAAGAGGACTCCAGTCCAGACAGTTGCAAAGGAACATGATGGTATTATGAAGTCTTCCCACCCAAGTACTCCTAGTAATTCCATAAATACTCTTACAAGTAATTCCAGTTGTCAGGGAACTTAGAAATAATCATGGAGAACCTTTGTCAGAAGTGTGGTTCAAATACTGTTATTTCACATTTTGATTCTGAATAGTCTATTTTCAGATATGAATAACTCCCCGAAAGATATCCACTTCAGACTGCGTTGCATGGCAATAAATATATACAGAAATGTAACTTTGAATACAAAGGTTATCGCAAAGCTTGAACTAAAGCAATGGTGAAAATATAGGGCCGGCAACAAATGTACAGCCACCAAAGTTATTGTGAATCTTGTCACATTTGCTACCAAAACAATTGTTTGCAAAATTCTCCTAGAACAGAGTCAATAAAACCCACAATTCTACCCATTACAATTTCAGGGAAGAATCAGTTCCTCCCAGTTAAAAATAGCTAACTAACTAACTAAATCTTTGATTATTTTTATCCCTTTGAAAATGGAAAATCTGCTTGTTTCAATTACTTATAATCAATTTTTAGTCAACTTCTTCTCACATTCTTACGACTTAACATAGTACTGATGAAACCGAGATGCACAGTTCTCCAAGGAGTACATTGGAACGCGTTCTTTTTTGGAGGAGGGCTGGATAATTTCATTATCACTGAATTAAGAATAATCCACAGGCATGAATTTATGCAATCCAGTTTCCCTGTGGACTTGTGTCTGTTGTCCCCCCCTACCCAGCTTGCTCCGTGTCCAGCCTGTGGCTTAAAGCCACGACACAGCACTCTGCTTGGACACCCACAAGGGTCAAAATGAACACTGCAAGGGTCAAAATGCTGTATGTGAACTAGAGCATACTTCTGCCTACCTACCTTTTTTTTCTTTTTTGGACCCTAGAAGATCAGGGGGAAAAAAAAAAAAAAAAAAGGGAAGTGAGCATCAGAGAATAAGGTAAATGGGTATCAAGTATTAAGGAATAATTAGAAAATACAACTATTCTGTAAAATTACATGAGATTAACTATCGAAAAATTATAACGGCAAGAATTTCAATATTGCAGAAAATTAGCCACTAACATATGACTCCAGGTGACCATAGTTTATCAGGCTGGCTTACACGTATAGCTCTACAGGTATATCCACTTAATCCCAATGTTAACAAATAAATGTAAAATAAACATGTAAGTTATTCTGAAATGTTTTCTAAACCGATACTGTGTGCTGCTACTGATACTACTAAATTACATCATGCAATGACCTATCAGAACACAGAAACGGCACTGAAGGCTTTTCTTATTCACGGGGAAACTGCATATGAAGTGAAAAAATGTAATTAGGGGACTTCTCCAAGCCACTACAGGAAATAAGAAGAGATTCTAGAAAGCCAAACATCTAACAGCGAATCCCTTATTTGATTGACCAATTACCTTTCCTGTGCAACGTCTAAGTATCGCCGTGCGGATTCATATCATCTGAGTGTGAATAGGTACCCATGTGAGAGAGTACTCCCTGCGGGGTCAAGAAGGGGGAGGAAGGTTCCTGTGCAACGTCTAAGTATCGCCGTGCGAATTCATATCATCTGAGTGTGAACAGGTACCCATGTGAGAAAGTAGGGGGAGGAAGAAGAATACAGAAGGAGAAGGTAGGAGAAGGCCAATGGTATCTTGGGCTGCATAGGGAAGAGTGTGGCCAGCAGGTCAAGGGAAGTCATTCTCCCCCTCTGCTCTGCACTGGGGAGGCCACAACTGGAATCCTGCGTCCAGTTCTGGGCTCCCCAGTTCAAGAGGGACAGGGAACTACTAGAAAGAGTCCAGCGAAGGGCAACAAAGATGATTCAAGGATTGGAGCATCTCCCTTATGAGGAGAGACTGAGAGAGCTGGGACTCTTTAGTCTGGAGAAGAGAAGGCTGAGGGGAGACCTTATCAATGCCTACAAGTATCTCAAGGGAGGGTTGAAGGAGGAGGGAGCCAGACTCTTCTCAGTGGTTCCCAGTGAGAGGACGAGGGGCAACGGGCACAAGTTGGAACATAAGAGGTTCCACTCAAATATGAGGAGAAACTTCTTCACGGTGAGGGTGGCAGAGCCCTGGAACAGGCTGCCCAGGGAGGGTGTGGAGTCCCCTTCCTTGGAGATTTTCAAGACCCACCTGGATGCTCCTGAGTAACATGCTCTAGCTCTAGGCAATCCTGCTTCAGCAGGGGAGTTGGACTAGATGATCTCTATGGTCCCTTCCAACTCTAAAATTCAGTGAAATTCAGTGAAAAGACAGGCTGTGCAGGGAATGAGAAGCAGTGGAGTCCCCTTCTTTGGGGATTTTCAAGACCCCCCTGGATGCTCCTGAGTAACATGCTCTAGCTCTAGGCAATCCTGCTTCAGCAGGGGAGTTGGACTAGATGATCTCTATGGTCCCTTCCAACTCTAAAATTCAGTGAAATTCAGTGAAAAGACAGGCTGTGCCGGGGAATGAGAAGCAGTTTGTCACAGTAGAGAGATCATAGAATCATGGAATGGTTTGGGTTGGAAGGGACCTCAAAGATCATTGAGTTCCAACCCCCCTGCCCTGGGCAGGGACACCTCCCACCAGACCAGGTTGCTCCAAGCCCCATCCAGCCTGGCCTTGAACCCCTCCAGGGATGGGGCAGCCACAGCTTCTCTGGGCAACCTGTTCCAGTGTCTCACCACCCTCAGATTCTGACAGAAAAACGTTTTATTTACCTCGGAGCCGGGTTTCCCGCTAAAGCAGCCACAGAACAAAACACAGAGCAAGACGGAGGTGGGGGGGAGTTGCAGCAAAGCTAACATGCCCTTCAGGTGATTTTCCAGAGCCTTCAATCTCTTTTTTTTCCACATACCGGTACCTCAGTAGCCCTCCCGGAATACTTCAGCCCGACCCCTGCCCGCTCCCCACCCCACCGGCCCCCCAAGGCGCCCGTCACCGCTCCGCCTGCCGCCCCCCGAGGCCCTGCGGCTACACCGGCACCAACCGATAGCCCGGGCCTTCCGCTCGGACACAGCCCGCTCTCGCCGCCGGCAGCACGGTCACCCGGGCCCCGACCCACCGCGTCGCGGGAGGAGCCGCTGTACCGGGGAGGCCTAACCCGCCGCCGCCATCTTACCATGGCGCCGCCGCCGCGTTGCCAGGGCGACCGGCCACGCGCTCCCCCCGCCAATGGCCTCCTTCCTCCTACCGCCCCGCCCCCGGCGCGCGGGGAGAAGGGCGGGGCTTCCCTTTACGGCTTTTGCCGTAAAGCGGCGCCGGCGGGCCTTGCGGCGGGAGCCGGTGAGAGACTGACCTTCGCCTTCCCCTCACCCCCACCCCCGGGGAACGGGACGGGACGGGACGGGACGGGACGGGCGGGCCGGGGGACGCGGGGACTGCGGGAGCGAGCGGGTGGGGGGTCCGGGGCAGGGCCACGGCGCCGGCCCCCCCCGAGGTAAAGCTGAGGAGAGGTGGCGGCCCGAGGGGGCCGGTTCTCCCCCTCAGGTGCCGGCTCCTGAGGGAGCTGGGCCGGGCTCCAGCCGCTCTTATTTATAGAATCATAGAATGGTCTAGGTTGGAAGAGACCCTTGGGATCATCGAGTCCAACCATCTCCCCTACTCTACAAAGTCCTCCCCTACACCATGTCCCTCAGCACTGCATCTAAACGGCCCTTAAACACAGCCAGGGATGGGGACTCCACCCCCTCCCTGGGCAGCCTGTTCCAATGCCCGACCACTCTTTCGGTGAAAAATTCTTTCCTAATGTTCAATCTAAACCTCCCCTGTTGGAGCTTGAAGCCGTTCCCTCTCGTTCTGTCACTAATTACCTGTGAGAAGAGACCAGCACCAACCTCTCTACAGTGTCCTTTCACGAAGTTGTAGAGAGTGATGAGGTCTCCCCTCAGCCTCCTCTTCCGTTACTAAGGCGTTACTGTGCTTTCGTGTGGTAAACACTGAGCTCGGTCAGTTCGTAACGCGGAAGAGAAAGGAGGCGGAAACACAAATTAAAAGCAGATTAAAGAGACAGAGTAGAAGCCCAAAACCCGCCTGAGTGGGAGCGAGCGGGGCCACGGGGGGCAAAGGGGGCTGGTTGGAAACCACCCACCGTGGTGGGTGAAGCTGGGGTTTACTGGCACCCGTGGAAGGCTAATGTCAAACTGGTTATTCTTCAGGTTTAAAAAAAAAAACAAAAAACAGACAAGAATAAAGAGTTCACTGAAATGTGAAAATGGCCAATTCTCTAAGAGGTGAAGTGTTGAATCTATACAAAAATGTAAGTGTCTCAAATGCCACGAGCACTTTCCTTAACCAGACAAAGCCTTTTTATTGCACACTTGATCTATAAAAAAATATATTTTTTTTTTTTTCTTCAAGCTGCTGTACCTTGGAAGGGAATATCCCAAAGGAGCAGACTACTTTAGAAGCCGTTTGAAAGCAGCTTTTCTAAAAAATAAAGATGTGAAAGATCCTGAAAAAATTAAGCAACTAATTGCACGAGGAGAATTTGTTATAAAAGAGCTGGAGGCTTTGTACTTTCTCAGAAAATACAGAGCTCTGAAACAGCGATACTACAGTGATGACAATAAATAACTGGTATTAATGACTTTGCATGTAACACTACAAACCCAGCAAAATAAAAACAATAAAAGAGCTGTAACCTCAGAAGAAATGAAACTTAAATCCTTCCACCCCATCTAGAGTACAAATTAGGACTTTTGTTTCCCCTGAAGTTCTCGCTTGAAGGATTTGGGGTTTGTATTACGTGGGTGATAAGTTTTTCCTCGACTGCTTCTGACCTCCTTGAACTAAAGCTTTGTGTGTGAAAGAGTTTTGCAGGAAATACTGGCCAAATAATTCCCTTCTGCTTCACCTGGGTGTGCACGTTGAGCTCTCAGTGCTCTCTGTGTTGGCATGCCCATTCAAACCGCTACGCTTGTTACAGACAAGACTAACCCGATTTTTAAAGCCTTCCACACTCAAGTGATTCATTTCCACTGTTAAGGAGCACCTTCTCAAAAGTAAAAATAAATTCTTAAAGATTTTCACGACACCTGTTTAACATGCAAGAGTCACACTGGCAGAGGTGCCATCTTACTGCCTTAGGAAGAAGACTTTGGGGTCGGGAAAGGGGTGAATTTGACCCTGAAGACAATTCCTGCTACTACTGATTTCTGATGTCGTGTAACTGCTGTAGCAGCAACACAGAACTCCATCCTTTCTGCAGTTTGACCATGGCTGTTTGCTCCCTGGCTAACTCCATAGACCTTGGCTCAACTAGCACAAGCCTGCACTGGGTACATAGTAGGGTTGGTTGGTGTTCCCTCTCTCCCTCATCCCAAGAACTAAGTGACACTGGAGAGAGAACATAAATAATCTTTGAAATGTTAAATAATCGCTGCAGTAGAACTGCTGGCAAAAGCAGTCCTTCCACGTCAGCTTAACTCTTCTACAACACATTGCAGTTAAACCTGTTCTGAAAAAATATCCCTCTGTTTGTACAAAATGTACAAAATCTAACCTACCCTTCATTAACTGATCAAAGGTTACCCAGACATGGTAGCAGAGGGCCAAAGCTTAAATGTGTTGTAAGTAGCAGTAGCAGTTTTGCCCTTTTTTCCCCCCCCAGGACACAATCAGTACTAAAGAATGTCCTTCATCTTTTCTGTCAGTTCATGGAAGGCGTTTGGTAGCAGAAAACAAGTGTGCACCTGGGAATGAACATCTCCCTTCCAGAGATGAGGCACCAAAATTCTTGGACAGAAAGAGCAAACTGGGACAGCAACTCACAATAACTATTTTTTTATTACATTACAATAAATAGGAGCAGTACAGTTTGACAAAAAAAATGACAAATTCCAGATCACCTCACAGCACATACTCCTAAAAACATTAAAAATTTTAAAACAAACAGTGGTCTTTTTTTTCTTTTTCTCTTTTTTTTTTTAACTTAATGTCCTGTATGACCAACATTCCTAGGTCACGCAACCAAATGATGGAAAAACTGGATCACACTGCATATGTTCCACATCAAATAAAGCACAATGTACAAAATGTGCATGTTTCAGTTTACACTATACAAAAATAGTTAAAATACATTCCAGGTAAACATATTACATTAAGAAGTCATTCTAGTAAGAAGTTGGCACTCAAGAGGAAAAAGCAGAAGTATTTTCAACATGAAAACACAAGACAGTGGAATAAAGAAATGTTAGGAAAGATTTACCATCTATGTAGCTTTATGTAAACTTGAGACAAAATGATTTCTTTACAGTTTGATGGTCTTTGAAGGTAATCATTGTATTGCTTCAGAGTATAGACAAGAGCAGGAGAGTGTCTGTCAGTATCTACTCGTTACAGAGATCCTGTTGCTGTCACAAAAAGAATCTGTACAGTGAAACTTAAAAATTAGCAAAAATTTTAGGGCAATGAGACTGGGCAAAAGAATTCAACTTTTGAGAAAACCCATGATGAAGTTGTTTACCAGAGTTACATAAAGCTACTGTAAGAAGGTGTTACTCCCTGACACATGGCAATTTAATGTATTAAAGCAGTAAGTGATTCACATGTTCCTTTAGTAGTTGCTGTCAGAACAAATAGCGTCCGGGGACGTGCTTTGAAAGCATCTCAAACAGGGAAAGACAGAATTATGAGATCAACTTGTGCAAGCTGCAATCCAACATGCTTCACCAAATCTCAACAAATATGAAGACAAAACTTCACAACAGTGGCAAGGATGTGTATTTTCTTTTTAAAAAAAAAAAAACAACGTAAAGAAGGGCTAATCTAAACAGATTTTTTAACAATTTAATTAGATTGGTAGCTATAGGTCACATTTACTGGAAAAAAATAAAACCAACGTGTTTGGTTCTTTTTTTTTTTTTACATATATAGCTTTATATTAGAGCTAAATAAATCCATATTTGATGATTGCAACATTTCAGCTAAAATTTCTCCTAACAGTTTTTAGTTAAATTAACAGAAGAATTTTAGACCAGCCCTAATTTTACATGCAGTGTGACTCAGTTACCAAAAATCTTAAAGTAATTTTAAGATTACTGCCATTTCCTCAAGGTATACTACCCACTTTTGCTACATTCTTCATATATAATCAAGAGTGTCTAAAATGTGCAAATAATTAACTAACTGTCTCCAAAAACGTTTCAACCTTGGAAGCTGTAAAATGTTTCGCCACGTTAAGAATCTGTTCTTCCTCCTTATTGGTCCTTACTGTTAGGTTCTCCTATTACTGTTTTTTCAGAATATTTCATAATATAAGGTATACTTCACATCAAAGCTGAGGGGGGGGGCTGGGGTTCAGTGGGGGCTGGGGGGTGCAGGCAGGGAGAGACAGTATTTTTCTCAGTCACCCTGAAATCAAAGACGACGCAGCAATCTGTCCCCCACCAGAGTCACTAAAGGGTTGGTTTGGGTTTTTTTTGTAGAAGCAAAATAATACTTTTCTCATGCAGCTGCAGTACCAAAAAAAAAAAAAAATAATCAAAGCTCCTGCAAGAATTCTGCATTAATTCCAATCAGAGAAAAAAAAAGGAGGGGGAATATGCATTAATTCCAATCAGAGAAAAAAAAAAGGAGGGGGAATAAAAAATAAAAATAAAATAAAAAAAAAAAATCACAAGAGAACTTGATCACAGAGAAAGACAACATTAAAATCTTGGTCTAGCTTCATGACAGTCTAGACACTGGAATGCCACTCACCAACCATTTAATCTGTGCAACAAAACTAGTACTTCACAAGCATCACACAAACAACACAGACTCTGAAAACCATGTTCGATGCTGACGGTTTGTGCAAATTCCACACCATTTTTATGGCATAGTGGATTTCCAAATTATTTGCATGAAGCAGCTAAATTCAACTCATTCGTTCACTTGCTTGTTGTTACTAGAATTTAAAATTTCCTCCCCTATTTTGCACAAAACGGGCATCTGGAAATATTAAATGCCACTCTTGGGGGGGAAAAAAAAGCAATACATTGCTTTATAATTTAGGGTTCATTCTGATTTAATTCTTACAGTAAATTCTGGATCCATGTATGAATTAACCAAAGAATTTGAGTCAACTTATCTGTTAAGGCTTTCTAGTATTTCCCAGAAACACTAAGGGTGAAATCCTGTACCTACTGAACAAAATTACTTAAAGATTTGCCACTGGAGGTCAGAAGAGCTAGGATTTCATCTTGGTCTTCAGACACAAAAGAGTTAGTGGAAGTCTTAAAGCAATGCATTAACAGTAGCAAATCAACCTAATTAGAACTTTTACTTTTTCCATTGCCAGGTGTGCATTGTCATCTTTTTTTAATTTTTCTTTTTTTTTTTAATAGAAAAAATAGAGTATTTAAGGAGTGACCGTGACAAACTGTGGTGAAATTTTTTTTGTGAAAGTTTTATCTTTACATTCATTAAAATTGATCTGAAATGCTACAAGACTAGATGCCTAGAAGCAAAATCTACAGGAAGACTATAAAGGCTTCTGGTCTTTCTATATTGCAGTCAGTTTGAAATAAAAGAAAGGCTGAAATGAAAGTCTATTTTGCTAACTAGTCCTTTTTCCCAACCAGATTTAAAAACCCAAAAAATTAAAAGGGGATGTTAGAATGTGTAGCACATCATTTCATTGTTTGGTTTGCACACAGAAGAGAAGTTCAGAATCAGTAAGAAAAATAGGAAGTTAGCAACTGTGCATGCACCAAAGAGTCCGAAGACAGTTTTCAGGTTTTTGTGTGTGTTTTTCTGTTTGTTTGTTTTTCACAGGCGTTGCTAGTTCAAGAACCAACAGTCAAAGAATACTGGCACTTTAAGAGGAATGAAGTTTCCACTGTCATTTAAAACAAGCATTCAGGTAAAGCTAACAGGATCATGAAGCAGAAAGTAAAGTAATGCTAAAACAAATGCTAATAATTTAGTGTAATGTACAAAAATTACTTAAGTACTTCTTAAGAATAAGCATAAACTGTATTTACATAATTATACACTTTGTCTTTGTCTTCTTTTTCTTCTTTTTACCATCTTTGCTCATCTTCTCTTTGTGTTTTCTGATTTCTCGAACTAATGTGTAGAAGGCATCATCAACACCCTGAAAAGATACAGGCACATTAAAATCAGGTTAACAGACTCACATGCTTGCTTAGGTACAGCCTGTTTTCATCTGATCTGATCACGTGAAGGGTGTTCAACGAGCAGTTTGTTTTTGCTGCCTGCCAGGAGAGGCTACATCTCAGGCTTTTAGAACAGCCCCTTGAGCAGTACAAATATCTGAAGCAAGAATTCTCTTTGGTAGAGATACTTATGATTATTCTATATATTCAGATCAGGCACACTGATAATAGTAATCACACGAGAGTTTTATAAATCTTTACATATGCAAATCAATCAAATCAGTCCCCTCTTCCCATGATAAATTATTATTGATAAATCATTCTATTCAGATGATATAGTTCAAGACACATGGAACACATTATCTATGCTGCTCTATCATGTACAGTCACTTAAAATCTCCACCACTCCAACAGTTAAGCTACAGGCACAAGAGCTAGTGTTTCTTCACAATGAGTAGTTTTTAATTTTTGGGGGGATAATCACAGCTGACAAAAATCAACTCTGGTCAAAAGAGACCAGCAAATCCAAAAGGCTGATATGAACCATTATCATGTACAATGTTATACCGGATTCGGTAACAAACCTATTTACATGAAACAGTTTCTTCTATTGCCTAGCTGCCAGGTTACTCCAAATTCCAACCCAGTACCCACGTTCTCAATTAGCCTTTCCATTTACTAGTTTGAGCACTGACAATTATAAAATCATTAAGTCAAATTTTGATGGTGATTCTTCACTGCCTTCCTCCTTATATTGTCTTTTAGATTCAGAAATAGTTATATAATGTTAATGTATCACAGCAGCCAACCGCACCGCTATAGAACTGGGTGGAGAAATTTAGTCCCACAACTGGCATGCAGCTTGCTACCTCTTGAGTTTTCCTTCAAGCTGCCAATAACAGTTAAAAGTCTCTGCTTACTCCTGTATGCCTACTTCAGTAAAAAAAACCTGAAAGTGAACTCTGAAAAAAAAATAAATATCAAAACCACAAGCAGCCAAAAAATCACCTAATTCATTAGTGTTTCAGTCAAACACCAAATGGTGATGAAACTTAATAAGCAAAGTCCAAAAAACAGTGAGATGTTAAGTAGCTTCACGTACAGAGCAACGCCCCCAGTATAACCTACATTTATTTTAAACCTTCAAATAACTTACAAATAACTAATGTTCTATCAAAGTCTTTGGCAGCTAATTCATTAGTGTTTCAGTCAAACACCAAATGGTGATGAAACTTAATAAGCAAAGTCCAAAAAACAGTGAGATGTTAAGTAGCTTCACGTACAGAGCAACGCCCCCAGTATAACCTACATTTATTTTAAACCTTCAAATAACTTACAAATAACTGATGTTCTATCAAAGTCTTTGGCAGCCTGTCTCCCAATACTAACTGCATGCTTTTGCAAGTTCATGTAATATACAAAATAAACTTGCAAATAACTTACGTACAGAGCAACGCCCCCAGTATAACCTACATTTATTTTAAACCTTCAAATAACTTACAAATAACTAATGTTCTATCAAAGTCTTTGGCAGCCTGTCTCCCAATACTAACTGCATGCTTTCGCAAGTTCATGTCATATACAAAATAAACTCGCAAATAACTTAATTCTAAATTTTAAAATATTATCATTCAATGTAAAATTGATGTAGCATGCCTAATGGAAGAGTAGACTTGGTTCTGGAAAAGGTCACGTCCTCCATGAATCTTTTGAGAATTAGAAATGCTTGATATTATTAATAATGCATTTAGTAGTTTGGTCCTGCCACAATTTGTCTTAAATTCAGGTCATGAACGTAACATGGCATATAAAACCAGGCTTAGAATATTAGTGAATTAGAACTGGGGAACTCAAGATAAACGGAGCTCTTTCACTTTTAAGTCTGTGGATTAAATCTGAAATGTAAGCAGTGGATGCTGTTTACAGAAGGTCCCTAAAGGCATCGATACTGTAAGATCAAAGGCCATCAACCTTTCTAGTTCCTTCTTTCAGTAAGAAGGGGCTGCAAGCAGCTGACCTTCCTCCCTTGCACAATGCTGTCATGGTGTGCAAGCTCTGGGGAAAGCATACCATGTCCTCAATGAGGGTTTTAAACCTGGGCTCAGGAATAAAAACTCAGAATTCCCTGTGCACGCTCAGAACCATCCCACTCTCCCTCAATAAAGGTGCATTGGATATTATTAATAATGCATTTAGTAGTTTGGGCCTGCCACAATTTGTCTTAAATTCAGGTAATGAACGTAACAGAGCTTGCTCCTGGCACCTGATTTCCCAAAGGGCAACTACAAAAAAATGCCAATTGAACCAAAAAAAAAAAATAAAAAATCACAACTGTTCCCACAGAAACAGCCTGCTCCTGGTTACAGCTTTTCTTTGGAGCACCTCATGGTCCCACAACCATACAGAATCACAGAATCTTCTAGGTTGGAAGGGACCTTAAAGATCACCTTGTCCAACCGTCAAATTAACTGACAAAAATAGACACCCACACAACAAACAAGGAGCATCATCACTAAACCAGACCTCCCAGCACTACATCAACCCGTCTTTTGAACACCTCCAGGGATGGGGCCTCAACCACCTCCCTGGGCAGCCCATTCCAATGCCTGAGAACCCTTTCAGTGAAAAAATTTTTCCTAATATCCAGCCTGAACCTCCCCTGGTGTAACTTGAGGCCATTTCCTCTCGTCCTGTCGCCTGTGACTTGAGAGAAGAGACCGACCCCCACCTCTCTACACCCTCCTTTCAGGGAGTTGTAGAGAGCAATAAGGTCTCCCCTCAGCCTCCTCTTCTCCAGGCTGAACACCCCCAGCTCCCTCAGCCTCTCCTCATAAGACTTACTCTCCAGACCCCTCACCATCTTTGTTGCCCTTCTCTGGACCCGCTCCAGCACCTCCATGTCTTTTTTATGGTAGGGGGCCCAAAACTGGACACAGTACTCAAGGTGGGGCCTCACCAGTGCCGAGTACAGGGGGACAATCACCTCCTGAGGCCTACTCGCCACACTGTTCCTGACACAGGCCAGGATGCATTGTAACCTCCATATGCAGTTACATGGCTACAAGTATGCATGAGACTTGGCAACTAACCCGACTCTTAGCAATAAGAAACCCTAAATTCATAAGGAATTGAGAATTCCTAAAGATTCCAGGCCCAAATAGACCCTTAAAACATTTTAAATTTTGTAAGAAAGTCTTTTAAATATACATTTAATATTTTTTATAAATATAATACATACATGCACACACAAGTATGAGTCATGAGGAGAAATCATTTGTATACCTCAGTACTACTATGGAAAAAAATAATGAAATTACAGTTTTAATCAAGGTTCTAGAAATTAAGGAACTTCAATAATTCAAATATTTTAATATTAACCCAGCTCAATCTGAATTGCCCTATCTAGATGTGTAATTGATGCCTTAGAGAAACTTTTCATTATAGTATGCTTTTTATGTCAAAAAACTTTAATGCTTTCAAGAAAGATCTTTTGAGATTTTACACTGCATTTTAAAAGTTTCTTCTTGCTAGTTGGAAGTTATAGGCTGAGCACAAGGTGTTACACACTTTCTGCTTTACTGTGTAACAGGGAAAGGAATGAACCTCTTGGAAAGCAGCAGCAGTTAATGGTCGATAATCTGGGTACTCAGTTTTCACTTACCTTGTACAAGATTAATCTAACTAAGGTGGCATCTCATAAGCAGCAGAAAGATAAACTGAATTTTCCAAGAGGTAGCAAGACACTCTGAACCATCAAAGTTGACTATCCACAGGCAAAAAAGGAAAAGAAATACTTTCCATCATTGCAAACTGTGTAATAACCAATATTTTTGCAGTCTCAAATCCCAGCTGAAAGATTCAGACCATTAGGTGCTGCTCTCCTTACCTCATCTTATCTACTATGTATTGTTTCAGTCTGATATATCTTCTTACTGAATGGAAAGTAATACAAGCCAGATTGTTTTAAATGCCAGATTTCTTATTCTGCTAGAATCACTACTGAACTACAGCTGTACAACAATTTTGGGATGTGCTTTCTCCAGCTTAACCTCCTAAACACAAAATTTCTGAAATAACTATCAATACTATGCAGAATTCATTTGAGTGTAAAGACAAATGTTTCCTCCCCTGAGCAGACACTCTTGAAATTCTAGAGTCTTATATCCAAGACTTTTCTAAATAGGGTATGGGGGGGGGGGAGAAACAAACAAACCAACCAAACAACAATATCCATTGTTGACAAAAGATTTCTTTCATCAACCAAAACCATCAAGAAACCCAACTATCCTTCTCTTGGCATAGGCAGAGAGAAAGTAGGAAGCTGGTAGAAAGCAAGCATATGTTTACTGAGCTATCAAAAAAAAAAAAATATCTTAAAATCTGAAAAGACACTTCCACTTAAAAAGCAAAAACGAACCCCACAATCCCACTCTCTCGTTCTCCTTCTCCCAAGGAAGTCCACAGAGAGGAAAAGTGGACAGAATTCAGGATTTTTAAAGCCCTAGTATCCAAACAGGAATTCTACTTTGAGGTATGGCTAGTGAGACAAAAAGAAATGGCAAAGTTGATTTTCAGAAGGCTACATGAAGGAGGCCTAAGCAATTTAATTCCTCTCGCTCTCATCAAAAGTAATCTTGCCAAGCTGCTGTTACTTGGTTTTTGATAATTAGGAAAGACTAAACCAGGGTATTTTGATGGCATCATTTTTACTGACAGTTGGATGCAACATTCCTAACTGAAGTAAAGCTTTGATACAAACAGTATCACAAAGTGTTATCTTGAAAGAAACATCTAAAGAATTATTTTAGAGCAGTCATTCATCACTTAAAAGCCGTGAACATAATAAGCTTGAGCAGATGTAAAAACTGATGCGAAACAAGATTTCTCCTCCCTCTCTTTCCCTCATTGAAGGCAATATTCCTATTGTGACAGTCTCTTCTTTAGGGTGCAAGTCAAATCCCACTAACTCTCTGCAAGGCATTCTTCAAGCATGAAAATCCACCTTGAAAAGCAATAGCCTTTCTCTTTTATACAATGGAAAAACTCCTGCTCATCCTCCTATTGGACACACTGCAGTTTCTTCTACCCTCTCCACCCTTTTTTTTTTTGTTACAAGACTAAAAAAAAAAAAACCACCCCCATGATTTTGTGACAATTTGTCTACTGTTTGGTTGGGGGGAGAGAGGGGAGAGTGCTGGTGGGGGGCAGGGTTGAGAGGAGTGGTTTTGTCGTGGTTTTCCTTTTCAATACTATCTGCAATATATCTGTAATAAAACCTTTTCCTCTTCACACACAAAACTAGGTCTCCATTTCACAAATGGAGAACTTATGTGCAGTAAAGACTTCTTGTTCACCTATTTACAAAAAACCCACAAAACTAAGCAAATCCATAGCACTTGGGTGTTTGCCAGGAATATTATTGAGGACTGCTATACTGAAATCTGATTGGGTTTAGATCTTAAATTATGTCATCAATTAACCACAAAATGTCTGATTTGCAAGATGCTGTCAATCATTTTCATTTGCGAGTGATTTGTAAAACTTACCCTGTTACATTACAAAACTTACCCTGTTACATTACAAGGCATTTTTTAATTTTCACGCACCCTGGAGTCTTTTCTTCTTTGCTGATTTTTTTCACTCTGTACTGTCGAATCTCTCGCACCAATGTATAAAAAGCATCCTCCACTCTCTGCATTGTAAAACACAACTCCTTAAAAACTGCTTCATCAACAGTTGTGACATGTTGGGACACCCTTGGCAGGGGCAAAAAACACACAACTCCTTAAAAACTGCTTAATCAACAGTTGTGACATATTGGGACACCCTCGGCAGGGGCAAAAAACATAACAAAACCACTGAAATTATGAGCTTTACTTGAGAGCAGTATAGAGATCTTCCATTTTTATATTTAAAATGCTGGGCTTGCACATTTGCTGCTTGAGAAGTACTTTGTAATGCAAGCAAGGCACACTCAAAGAATTTATTGATTACCAATTATTGTGTATATCTATGCATCAAGCCTTCTTTTTTTTCTGTGCAAGGTAACACCTAGACAAAAAAAAAAAAAAGAATTCTTTTCTTCCATTGCATACCACACTGAAAATAATACTGCTTGTGCTAGTGAATCTTTTCACACAGTTTTGTGGGAATGGATGTATTTAGCAGGCACAAAAAAACTTACTGGGTTGGTACCTGGGTGGTACTTAGAAACACACCCGGTTAATCACCTATTTTCTTAGTCAAAGTGAGAGCTTTTTATTGTTTGGGCAGGCAAAGAAAAGTAAGCTCATTTATGTTCTGTTCTTTAGATAAGGTGGCATAATTTCTCTGCAAAAATCCATGGAACTAACAAAGAAAGCCTAGAAAAAGTCTAACCAGGTAATTTCCTAAGAGGTTACAAAGAAATAACATCTTCTAAGAATACTAAATTTTGGGCAATATTGTTTTTAAAGTTACTTTACAGAGTATGCACTATGCTATTAAATATAGAAAAAGGGATATATAGAAAAAGGGATATTTGAGTCACAGCAAAGTGATTTTAAGAAGCACCACAGGTACATTATATTTCAGAGTAACTTTCACATCTTACTTATTCTAATTATAGAAGTTACTCTTCCATGCAGAATAAAAAAAACAACCGAAGAGCTTGGATCACATCAACAAACAAGTAGCATCTAATCTGTTCTTTCTGGGCCAGATGCAGGTAACTATGAGGGTCCTGTAATAACAACTAAGTGCAAACAGCCTGTGAGGTTCTGCTGCTTAAATTGTCCTCTGGTTGAGTACTTTAAGTACTCCAGGGACGACACAGAGCTACATATTTTCCTTCCCTGGTCTCACATCCTACCTTTCTCCAGCTCTGTGCTTAAGCCACTTGGATGTGGTGAGATCATGAACATTTGAAAAAAAAAAAAAAAAAGTATGAAGACTGCTTAAAGATCCTCATATTTGCTTAAAGTCAAATATAAGATACAGAGGTACCAGCTTTCAGTTGTAATATCTGTTATTTTAAACTGAGTATATCCATGCATACCTTGAAAATTTAGATAAATCTGTGAGGATATTCTTGTTGGAATAAGATGCAAAATCTTTAGCTGTAGCTATTAAAGGCAAGAACAAATCACTCCTCTGCCTTACTGTCTCTCTTATTACTTGTCTCCTCAATCAGATGAACAGGGCTGATAATTTAAAACAAACTCATTATTTGAAAATAAAAACAGAACTGACTGATGGTCATGGAAAACAGTACAAGCATTTAAGTCCCAAAACTTTATTACTACCCATATGCACAACGTGGGCTTTTATTTGGCAGATTTTCCATACATTAACTCTCCAACCCATCTTCATATTATGCATCTAGTAACAAAAATAGCTTACATTTACTGTCACAGTTATTGGGCCATTTTGCATTAACTGTGCCATAGGTTATCACACAGAAGACTCATTCTTAACATATTACTGTTTATCTAAGGGTTCTTCTGAATTACAGCCACTTGAATTTAAATATTAAATGGATTAGATTTATTTCTTGTATTGTATTTCTGTTATATATGACGTGCCTTGTTAGGATGTAGCGAGGTATTGATGAAGTGACAAGTCCTATATTCCAGGTCTGAGAGTTTGCAAGATGTAAAGAAAACCAAGTAAAGCTCATACTTTCATGTTTTCCTGGAAGAAATGGAAGTTTATTCCTGAAGAGGAAACAGTAAACATTGATCAGCTGCTACGTGCAAAAGCACAAGCTGTACAAGAATCAGGATTTTTTGCAGATCTACTATTTTGCAGCCGAAATGTGCAATTTGATTATGGAGCTTTCACATGAATAATTAGATAACAATTCTTCAGACAACGTTTATTGCCAACTTTCCCATCACCAATATGAGCTGTAATTTGCTTTAGCAATGCAGAGAGGGGGAGAGACACAGACAGAGTGAGAAAAGAAAATTGCTACTACTGCCACCACCAAGAATAGTCTTATGAATCCTGTCGGAGGAAATTACTCTGAAAGAAAAAATCTGTAGAGACACACATTTGCTAATTTCATTAGCACGAGGTTACATTTTAAAGAGCTAGGTGCCAGTCTTATAAACTTAAAAAGTCATTTTAATACCACTTTCTTTTAAGATTCTTCACTATGTTTTTCTTAAATGAGCATGGACTGTAGATCTAAAATATGGTTAACTGGTTCTGTTAGCTGTCAGAAGTGGAAGGGAAAAATATCCTTTGGCAGATATTAAAAACTTCAAAATCTGAACTGCTCTTTAACAGCCCAAAGAACCCATGCCCTTGAGGCAATGTTTTCAAGATGCTTTTGACTCCTAGGAGACAGACAGACATTCGATTTAAAACATGACTATGTGCAAAGAAATACTATTTCAAATACAAACCTAAGCAGAAATGGGAATTTTCACATGTTCTGCTTCTGTAAATAGCACTTAAGGGAAACTAATGAAAATCAGCCTTCACATCTGTCATGGTGTCCCTGCCCATGGCAGGGGGGTTGGAACTAGATGATCTTTAAGGTCCCTTCCAACCCAAACCATTCTATGATGCTATGATCTCAGAAGTGTGGTGTGTCCACCTTTACACACTTTATCAGAGTTGGTCACCTAAACCCAACTGGTAGGCAAATAAAATCAAAATTATTCATGAGGTCACAAGCAAAAAGAATACTACTCACTTGCACAAAAGCACTCCCAACATAAAAATAGTGGTAAAGTCCTCTTAGCCAATACTGAAGAACACACAAACCTGCAAAAATTTACTACCTCGTGTGCATTTAGCTTAAGGCTCATTTTTTGCTGTCTCTAAACCAGACATACTTCAAAGAACTGTTTGGAAACAGTTACTACAGCTCAACCAGATGCAGAAGGTCCACTTGTTTGGAGTAGGGGGGTGTGTGTGAAGCAGATCGTGTTATCTTATGATGGTTAAATACCAGACATACATCAGTAAATTCATTTTAAGTATCATACAAAATCATGATTAAAGTTACAAAGTTAATCATTCCAAAATTAAGAAGTGCCAGAATTACAGCTGTCTGTCCTACCTGAATTTCATCCATTGTGTGCACGTGTCCCTTTTTTGCTGTACTTACTGTACATTAGGTAAAAACCAAACCTGTTTCCTCAGTATCCTGGAGTCATTTGGCACACAAGTTGGATGGCAGAATTTGTTTCAACATTTTTTTTCTTGGGGCCTTGCTCTTGGGAAGGACTGAACTTTTTTGGAAAAGCAACATGAAAAAACTCCACCCACATTGTGAAGTCTGACAAAGTTTTAATTAAAAAAAAGTTTTAAAATGGAACCTGTACACATGAGCTACATTAAAAATGGCTTGGAGTGAAATACATCCAATATCATTAAACAGATATGATAAATCCCTAAAAAAAATGGCAGGTTGGTTCAAGTAAACTATCTAACTATCAGTTAGTCGTAAATCTTAATTGAGATGTAAGAATGAAGTTCTGTAAATAGTGCACTGATTACTTCATCAGACCAGGCACAGGTTCTCACCTTACTTTTGTACAGTAGGTTAGGTCCCAAACTGCTGACATCAGACAGCTGAAATAACTATAATGCTTTTTCAACAGCATCCTCAACTTCTTCATTAACCACTTCAAAAGTGTATTTAAGCATGTTCTTAACAACAGGACCTAATGCTTTGGGGAATCCTTTACTATGCTTACAAAAATGCCCCTATATATTTCAATTCAATACTAGCAAGACAGTTGAAATGCTCCCAGAAAAACAAAATCCTGCAGTCATTTGGTATGCAGCCTTCCACCTTTTCCTTGTGCAGCCCCCAGGCAAATGGAAACCCACTAAAGAATACAGGATGCAGCCTCGGTGGGTTCTGGACAGACTGGATCAATGGGCCAAGGACAATGGGATGAGGTTTAATAAGGCCAAGTGCCGGGTCCTGCATTTTGGTCACAACAACCCCAGGCAACGCTACAGACTTGGGGAAGAGTGGCTGGAGCTGCCCGGAAGAAAGGGACCTGGGGGTGTTGGTAGACAGCAGGCTTAACATGAGCCAGCAGTGTGCCCAGGTGGCCAAGAGGGCCAACAGCATCCTGGCTCGTATCAAGAATAGCGTGGCCAGCAGGAGTAGGGAAGTCATCGTGCCTCTGTACTCGGCTTTGGTGAGGCCTCACCTCAAGTGCTGTGTTCAGTTTTGGGCCCTTCACCACAGGAAGGACATTGAAGTGCTGGAGCGTGTCCAGAGGAGAGCCACCAGGCTGGTGAGGGGTCTGGAGAACAAGTCCTTTGAGGAGAGGCTGAGGGAACTGGGGATGTTTAGTTTGGAGAAGAGGAGGCTGAGGGGAGACCTCCTTGCCCTCTACAACTCCCTGAAAGGAGGGTGTAGAGAGGCAGGTGTTGGCCTCTTCTCCCAAAGGACGAACGACAAGACCAGAGGAAATGGTCTGAAGTTGCGGCAAGGGAGATTTAGATTAGATATTGGGAAGAACTACTTTCCTGAGAGAGTGGTCAGGCCCTGGAACAGCCTGCCCAGGGAGGTGGTGGAGTCACCATCCCTGGAGGGATTTAACAAACGTATAGACATGGCTCTTCAGGGCATGCTCTAGTGCCCAAGGTTATTGGTTTACGGTGAGGTGTTGAGTGTGGGGTTTAGTTGGTGGGCGTTTGGTGTGGTGTGTTTTGTATTTGTTTGGTGTTTTCTTTTTTGTTTGTTTGTTTTGGTGTTGTTTTTTTTTTGTGGTTGGACTCGATGATCTCAGAGGTCCCTTCCAACCACTAAGATTCTGTGATTCTGTGAAACCAAGTTCGCCTGTCATCTCTTAGTGATACTATTGATAATATTGGGATAATATTGATAATAATATGCTCACATGGACAGGGAAGAATTTGAGTTGTGTCAAACAGAGAAAAGTGAAAAGAGCTATCAAAATAAACCTAAGAAATTCATACCCTTCCGCGTAAGGATTGTGAAAGGGTAAGTGATGCAACATGCCTTACAAAACCACCAGTGTTGACATGTGTTTGTGTGTCAAAATGTATTTCGACTACCACTATGTTACATAAATTACACTATATTAATCACTATTTTTTATAAACTACGTTAATTTCAGTCAGTGGTCTAATTTTAAAAAAAAAATAATTAGTAATCTATGGCCTTATACCCAAGTTGTAGGGCCCACTAAGCAAATGTTTCACTGATGAAGTCAATGATTTGTATGAAAATTCGCACAAGGGTTTCACTTAAAATACCTTTTTGCAGTAAGTTAAATTTACATCTTCATTGCCAGTCAGAACCAAATAAAAATAAATGCACTAACTATTATAACAACTTATTTCTGCACTTCATTTCAGTGTTTTTCTCTTTCATATTTTTTACCTTGTCTAGGGATTTTGGAAAATCTTTTGAGAAACTGAATTTGAACTGAGGTATCATTCTGCATGAGTATACGCTGCCATAATTTTAAAAAAGTGTCTTGACAATCAAAACAGACTACATAGACAACTCCTTTCCACTTCCATCTCCCTTGCTTCCTTCCCCAAAAACCTTTCTGATTCTCTCTGAGCTCCAACAGAAGCGAGGCACAGGGAAGGCCACTTCAGTAGGGCATTCGTGCTGACATTTCAGCGTGGTGGGAGATGCAGAGAGGAAAGGACAAAAAGGTTCCACCTTCAAAATATTCATGTCAGACATACTCCAGAAGTTACCAGACCACCAGCCACATCTGTTCACACTTGGAAGTTCTACATGTAACCAGAAGGGACTGGATTTATTTATTTACTGAATTCTGCCCAATAAAACCCATAGTCCATGGGCTACATACAGTTCACAAAACAGTTTGAATCCCCTATTAAAAAAAAGTTACTTTGGAAGGTGTGTACATATGTGCATATATATTTTTTTTTATATACAATAGCGTGACTGAAAAATCTGATGCAAATACGTATGTAAACAAACACATACATTAGTATTTTAGATGATCTTGCTGAAATAAAAGATCAGGTTCTTCCCATCCTCTTTTGTCCTCTCAAAAATATTTTATCAACACAGCAGGTTATGAAGCAGTTTCATAACATAACGTGTTATGAACAGCAGTGCTAGAGAATCAGCAACCATACCTAGTGGTTCCAACTTTCAGAAGCCAACAGTCTCAGAGTCTACTGGGCATCTTTAGTTCAAAATCCATGAGACACCTTTAGAGAGTCCTGATCTGTGGGGGTATAAAGCTCAGCTTCGAAAAACAAAAGCCAAGTCAGATCCCTTCTATAACACTTCAGTTGGCACCTCCAGACATATAAAGTCATAGATAAAAACAGTCAAATTATAGAATGACAGTTCATATATGACTGATCTATTGTCCTCTGTAACAAGTACAAACCTCTGGCAGACCTTTTAGAAGTATGAAAGATAATGAAGCAGATACTACTTTGTGTAAACAAATATCACTGGGGCTGCTTGTAGGAGTAAACTGCAGGGAGGGTGGGGAGAAGAAATCTTTGAAAATACACCATTGCATCACCATACTTTTATTAAAGTGGCTATGGAAAAGAACTATTTCCTTAACAAAGCCTGATGTTCTGTTAAACAGTCTGAACAAAGTAAAACCTAGATGTTAGTACAGAACTTCTGTTATTTCAAACTTTAAACTTAATTTCAGAGTTCTTCCTTTTTTTATCCTAACATCTCAATAACAGCCACTAATACACAACCTGCTAAACAAGAACATTGTAATTATTCAGTCCATTTCTATGCCACATTCTTCAGCACACTCTTGTGGCCTAATTTATTATCAGCCATTAAAGTTGTGTAGTTCTGGTTTTTTCCATCCTACATAACAGAGACTTTCTCTATTGCCAGAAGTTACCATTCCTTTGATTTCTCTGTAAAGTTTCACTAATTAGTCCAGGTTTCCACTTGTCAGAATCTTTGGGAGGGGATGTAGCAAGTTTGCACTAATAAAATATTCATTTGTTATATCCAAAAATAACTGAAGTACTATCTGTGAGGAAATTCTGCCAAGTGATGCAGCTGAATCTATTTAGGAGTTACTCAAATTGCAGTGTTCTGCTCTTATTTCCCTCCTCCTACTATACCCAATTCCTGATTTATAACTCGCTTGTTAAGAGTTCTGATTATGCAGAGAGTATGAGTTATTCAGCCACTGAGGCCTGACCTCATGTGTACTGATAATCAAGAAATACCACAAACCAGCATTTTTCAAAAAGAATGCTTTCTTCCAGAAGCACAGAACCAGTTTCACCTCTATCTGTACACCTTATCTTCTCCTGAACACGTGGATGTACCATGTACACCTTTGTCCTAGCAAACCTACACCAGTGGGGTACAAGAAACCAACAGCGAGCTCTGAAGTCTTAGACTATCTGTACACCTTATCTTCTCCTGAACACGTGGATGTACCATGTACACCTTTGTCCTAGCAAACCTACACCAGTGGGGTACAAGAAACCAACAGCGAGCTCTGAAGTCTTAGAAGAATATCAGTTTACACAAGCAATTAATTAGTAATGTCAAAAAAAAAGACCAATGAAGAATATCAGTTTACACAAGCAATTAATTTAGTAATGTCAAAAAAAAAAGACTGAAGGTCAATTGCTTAGCTCTAAAAGGTATATCCCACCAGCACATCCCAGTAACACTGAATCAATGCCTCAAAGACAGATTCCTTTTGTTATTGAGAAGACTAAAACTGAATAAACTAATTAGCTGTTGTCTGCTTAATCCTCTTTCTGAGGAAAAAAAGCATTTCTCCTTTAAGTAGAAGTGCTTTTTATTCTATGAAAACCTATCACAACGTTAAGAATGCTGGCAAACCTCTGAGAGTGGAGAGTAACAGCAGGCCAGGTCTCATTCTTTGAGTTTGCGCAACTGAAGCAAATCACTCATTAATAAACAATTACCAGTTGTCAGGGAGTTGACAGAAAGAAGAGACACCACAAGAATTTCTACTCTGGAGAATTAAGTAGAAGTGCTTTTTATTCTATGAAAACCTATCACAACGTTAAGAATGCTGGCAAACCTCTGAGAGTGGAGAGTAACAGCAGGCCAGGTCTCATTCTTTGAGTTTGCGCAACTGAAGCAAATCACTCATTAATAAACAATTACCAGTTGTCAGGGAGTTGACAGAAAGAAGAGACACCACAAGAATTTCTACTCTGGAGAAACCAAGCAATTGTCAACACCTAGAATAAGGAATGTTATGGTAATTCAAAGGAGAGCTCTGTGTTTGTGTCTCCTAAGTTTGGAGCTTTACCTGTCTTGTCTTTGCTGATGTTTCGATGAAAGGAATTCCGTAACTTCTTGCTAAATCCTGAGCTTGTTTTGTATCTACTGTTCTGGAAGGCAAATCACATTTGTTTCCTACTAGCACCATTGGAACATCTTCAGAGTCTTTAACTCTCTTTATTTGTTCCCTAAGAAGAAAAAAGTTAAAAAAAAAGAATTAAAAAAGACATTTTATTTAACAGGTACTAACAGTCTTAAAATCTATCATATAAATTATGAAATGAAATGAAAGTAACAGATTCCAAAATCATTCTTTATGTTCATTTGCTGCACGTATGGTATTAGAAGCCATCAAAAAATAAACTGACCGATCCTGTCATCACCAAGTTTATCATCTTATTTGGAAAAAAAAAGTTTGCAAACTGCAAACATGGATTTTGATGTCATTACACTATTTTTTTTTTTAGGGTATTTTTTTTGTTTGCTTGCTTGTTTTTTGGTTTTGGGTTGGGGTTTTGGGGGTTGGGTTTTTGGGGTTTGTTTGGTTTTTTTAAGTTTTTAACAGCTAATGCCAGAATAAGCAAAAGAAGCTCTGGTATAAATCTTCCTACATCTCTCTCATACTCAGCACTCATAAAACTCGATTCATTTGGTAAGATAAAACACTCTCAAAGGCACTATGCTTGTCGTCTTGATTTTGTGTGGGATTTTTGTTGGTTTTATTTTGCAATTAAAGACAGAATTACAAACTCTTCATTCAGACAGGGTTTTTTAAACTTTGAAGACCACTGATCTGGTGCTCCAGAGAGAGCAATTTGCTAAAGGGAGGCCTTTCAACCAGTAGTTTGAAAGCATCTTGAAATACTAGTTAGATGTACATGTCAAGAATCTCAAATAACAACCATTAATTTCATTACTTTTGCCTTCCCAGATAATCTAGCAGTATATTCCTTAATTAATATAGCCACTGCTTTCAGTTATTTACTTAGAAGCCTTCAGCTTCAGTCCCCAAGGTCATCCACATGTGTGTGAATGCACAGTGGAAACTCCAGCATTCAACTCACAACATTCTTTGAAAATAAGCTTAAGAAGGCTGCTTCAGTTATCTGCAACTTCCTCTTTAAATAAGAAAAATCCCACATAAAAACCTCTATGTTCTTTTCTCTCCTTACATCAACATCTATCTTGACTTTGTCCATTCTTCCTCTACAACCCATGTGAGAATGCCTAAGGAGAATTCAGTATAATATTAAGCTGCTAAATTATATCTAGTCTGGCAATCACCAAAGACTGCTTCTATTTATATACGTAGCTGACAAAGAAAGCATGAGTGAAAGTTTTTAACTAATTATTTAAAAAAAAAAAAGAACATGAAGAAACTAATAACAAGTTGCTTTTTTAGCAGTCATCCTGGAGCTCAGATTTTGTGCGTGTCTCCCCTCTTGCGGCATCAGGGCTCACACATCTCAGTCTTCTGGTAACATTCCACAGGTATTTCCCCTCCACCCCCAGAACAAAAGCTAATGATTGACACAATTGACTTCATTGTCTGTAGAACTTTCCATCTTAACACACAATTTCATTTATGGAATGGGCAGAGCTAACCTTTAGATAAGTCTTCGCTATGCACAGGCAGAAATACCAAGTCACTTTATTTTATTAAAGAAGAGCTTTCAGATATTTTGCCTGCCTAACTTGCAAACGAGGCACCAGATTTTCAGATTACCCAAAATTACAGACATACAAACGCACAAGTAAGTTGCAATATTGCCAATTTGCAAGTTTCCCCTTAGATGCTATTTCAGAAGAGATCGTGCTATTATCTAGTGTAAAAGCAAGGAACTTACCCACCTAATACAAGAGTTAGTCAATTCTCTTTCTATATACACACCTATAATGGTGAATATCTTCAAAAGACTTTGTATTGTTTATAGCAAATACACACAGGAAGCCTTCTCCTGTTCTCATATATTGGTCCCTCATTGCACTGTATTCTTCTTGACCTGCTGTATCAAGAATATCCAAGAGACATGTTTCTCCATCGATTACTACTTGCTTCCTGTAGGAATCCTAAGAAAAGAAAAAAAACCATAAAACTTGATTAAACATAAACAACACCTATAGCTCAGGAGATATAACAGTTGTTTACTAATAATCAAGCATGACACTTGAGAGTTAAAATCCAACTTTATATATGGGCAAATGACAGCAGGAAAACAGTGTCCCATATTTACATGTATACAGCAATCCAGAAGTGGAAAGAGCACTGAAAGGCCATGTTTGAGACTGGAAATCTGTTTTGTATGCCTAATGATATTTGTTATTAAGTTATCAAAGTTGACTTGATGTATTTGAAGTTCAAGCTTTTTAGCAATGACAGACCAACAGTCATGCAAGAGCCCTGATGGGTTCACAGAGATGTTGGAACAAATTATGTCAGTGCTATCAATTCAGAGTTTTCAGGTCACTGATTCAAATGGCTAAAATCTGCACAAAGTCCCAACCAACTAGACATTAATGCCTATTTTCAGCTCTTTTTGGTGCTAGGCTTCTACAAGTACATAGTTTTAGTGATAAGAACATAAGTATTACTTTCCCAATAACTTTATTTCTAATATATAGTTGTCTGTAGAAAAGAAATTGTGTCAACAAGCTTTAAAAATAGGTCATTGAGCAGTGCCATGGATTATTTTCAGTAAACAGTACTTGTAACAAATAAAAGGCATAAACACAAAATCTTGGTATTACCTTTCAGATCCTTTAGCTAGAGATTAACACAATGTCACTATTGTTCTTTTTAATGCTATAAAGAAGTGAACCTAAGCTCCTGGGGAGGGAATTAAAGAATTAAAGTTGCAATTCTAGCCAGCTTCAAGACGAATTCAGAATGACCTTCCTTCCTTTGCACCCATTTTAAGGCACCGTCCACCTATTCTATTTTCCATTTTCTATCCATCTATTTGCATTTTTACACAAGGCTCTCTTTTTTTTCCTGTTGCTCATGCTAAAAACCAAACAGCAGATAACTGTATAGAATCAGTATCTAAAACTAAACAAACTCTGTAATCTCACATTTATCTTGAGCCTGGATGACATTGGACAGTAGCAGGTAAAACAATATCAACTGTTTACCTTAACGATCAAAGTTTACTTCCAACACGATTTTGGAAACATTTATTTCATAGAAGTGCAAATTCAGCATACAAGTAAGAAGCAGGAAACTTACTTTAGAAATATATAAGCCAGGTTTAAATATCAATACAGCCAAGACAAATGCACAAGCTCCAAAATGTTTTAAAATAATGTTAATATTCCATTTCATTACTTTAAGTAAAAAAAAAAAAACAAACAACACTCCAAAGGGCATCTCTTTACTCCAATTCACTTAAATTCAATAGCAGATCCCCCATGTCCTATGATACCTTTCACACAAGTACTAATAGAACTTCTAGCATTATACTAGCCATATTTACAAAGCTTTCATTTTCTCTTCTTGCAATTTGACTGCTGGTTTAAAAATATGAAAAACAGTTCTTGAAAGGACTGTATTATTCCTTTACATCTTAGCACTTCAAAGGAAAAGAAATTCCCATCAACTGAGCTCTAAACAAAAGCTTTAAGTAATTTTCAAAGACAATTTTTTAAGAGAAAAAGAAAATCACTTTCCAGAACTGCTGGCTTTAGCATGCCTACCATCCTAGCAATAGTAGCAAAGATGCACCAGCAAAAACCACAGCACAGGTACACGAAGAAGGAACATTTTGAGATATCTGTTTTGCCCGCTTCTGGAGAGAAAATTTTGTCAGTAACTAGAAAAGGGGATTTGAGGAGAAAGGACAAGACAGACACGAGAGAGAAAATTCAACTTATGATTTCCTTCCAAGCCGCTGAAATAATAAACACTTCGCTTTTATGCCCCTCTTTTTTCCCTCCCCCCCTGAAAATATCAAACCTGAGATCACATTTGTAAACTGTAGGGAAAAAACCTAAAGCACCACATCATAAGGTCAGGCTCTTGGGATCCCCACCACTATCATGAATACCAGTGTAAACATACCCAAGAACAAAGCTGTTTAAGTGTTATCATACTGTAAAAATTATATAAAGTCCTGCAAAACAGAACAAAGCCTATACCAAAAAAAAAAAAAAAAAAGCAAAGTTATGCCACTATGGTACTTGTGGCACTTCTGTTTCAAAATGCAACTGCGTAACCCAAATAATCACATTCCCCTTCAGCAATGAAAGAAACCAATCTTCTAATCTATAAAAATCCAGTAACTGCACATTGGAAGACTTGCAGTAATGAATGCAATGAAGAAATGATGAAGAAACATTCGGTATAAGCCTATTAAGTAATAACAAAATGCAAACTAGAATTTAACTTCGAAGTAGTACCCGACTCCAGAAATGAATTTGCAATTTTTCTCCCGTATAAAGACTCAGCATATCTATATCCAAAAGTTTTCATTTCATTAATCACTTAGCCTGCTTTCATTGGCCTTTCACGAGCCATAAAAATCAACATGAATTATGCAAAAGGAATAATTCTATCTGCTCACAAGCACTGATAACAAAATGTGATTGGAAATCTCAGCTATACACTCCACCTAAGAAGAAAAAAAACCCACTGCCTAATAAATCCCATCTAAGCTAGTAACAATTATTTTGTGAAAATACACTATACCAGCGATTTAATATTAAAATATCACAGTTATTAAGACTAAGCTATTACTAAATATTGGTGGAAGTTTCACAGGTGTGTAGGTCATTTAAGCACACAGACTTGAATATCAGGTATTCCTAAACGGGTCAAGGGATTTTGCTAATCCAATTGAAAACCCTCTGACACACAACTAGGAAGGCTGCTCTTTTTCTAGGACATTTAAAAGACGACATGTACTTAGCACTAAAACATGCTGAAGCTTTAAAAAAAAAAAATTTAAAAAAATCTTATATTATCCCAGAAATAAAGATTTAACAGAACTGGACCAGTAGAGGGCGCCAGTCCAACTGTTGTGTGTATTAGGCCAGATTTCCAGGGGTTAGTGTACATACAGTAAAAAAACCAAAACCATCACTTAAAACTGCTTGGCTATAAATCTGTGCTTGAACATCTACTTCAAATAAGAGATGAAACTGTAAAACATATATAAAGCATGTCTATTTGAATAACAGTACCCACCCAAACATGCACTCAGCTTAATTCCTCCCCCCATGTCATCTGCTACGCTCAGATGTAAGTAAATAAAATACTCAAGCAGGCCATGAAACTCGACATTTTCCAAACAAGTTGTCTGTTGAATCATTAAGTCTATTCCACTGAAAACAGCAACAGCATGAACATTGTAAATGCATCTGTGATTAAGCAACTAGTATATTTTTTCCTTTCTTCAGCTGCATCATGTCTTGACGACATGAGGATTTTAGAAGCGTTGAGTTTCATTTTGCTAATTGCAGGAAAGATTTAAAGATTTATTGAATAACTGTGTAGTTATGGAATCCACTACAGCTAACAAACACTTAAGTCTTTTCTCCATCTACCCCAAAATCCTTTGCTTGAGTATTAGTGTTTTGGCAACAGCAATGAAAGAAACAGCAGTAAGTGAAAAACAGCAGCAGTGACACTCCTGAACTGCCTTAACTGTTAATATCTACCAGTGAGAGCAACTTTAGCCTTATTTCCTCATACTGCATAAAAAAACCACTCTCCAGCTATTGTTCTTCAATAAGCCCCTGCCACCACAACTGCATCCCTACAGGAAGCACAATCAAGCAACCCTTCTCAACTGAAGGGGATTCTGCCCAGGCAAGGATTCAAGCATTTAAAACCAGTTATAAGACCATTCTCTGGAACCTTGTTCTTCAAGACAAGAACTTGTAGGAGTTGCAGAAAACTAATACTGTCACATGCCATAAGTTGTTGATGCTGATAAAACCTATTGGGTTCAAGTCAGGGGTCATTACCTCTTTCTTTCAGATTAACATATTGTTTCTGGACCACACCACAGTGTTACATCCTGCACACTACTGAATAAAAGCCACAGTTCTGGGATTTTAGGTGAGGAACTCTATTTTCATTTTATTGTTTTACATTAAAAAGAATTTGGTATTCCTCAAAATACTCAGCTTGTTGATTAGCAAAATGTCTCAAGTATTTAGGAATATTGGCTTTTAAGGATTTGCGTTCCTAAATTGTTTACACAGTTCTGGCTTTATAAGCCAACTTCTAACACAGAACCTCCATGGTACTTTTTGTAATGTGCAAGGACACTTCTAACCCAAGAGAAACCCAGGTAATTACAAAAAAGTCATCATTGACAAAATCTTCTAACCCAAGAGAAACCCAGGTAATTACGAACAAGTCATCATTGATAAAATAACAAAGACCAACATGCCCCAAAGTTCCTTTTGCAGGAAAAAGTAAAATCCCATTTTGCACATTCCTCTCAACAAGTTGTGTGTAGTTTCTGTTTTTAAGCATGTTTTGGGGTGGTTGTTGTTTTAAGATTTCACATCTTGGTAATATAAAGACCTGTTTTCCTAGTGCCAGGTAAAACACTCTTCCTCTCTCCATAGGACTGTTCACAAAATCTTCTACAAGCACACAGGAGGCTACCTGGCTATGCAACAGAGAAGACAAGAGGACACTACAGGCACATTAAGGTAAAACTCCAACTCAAGCCAACAGATCTCTCTTTGGGGCACATTAGCCAAGTAAAGGCCTGGGTTAAAGTAAGACAGCTTCCTTCTGTCACAGGGCATCAGCTCCTTTCCCTTGTGCCTACCTGAAAATGACTACATAGCTGTTTTCCGAGTCACCATTTTAAGCCTAGATTTAAATCCTTGTAACTCCTTTAAATGAGCTTGGAAATGCCTCACTGTATAAACATATAAATGAAGTCATAAGCTACAGAGCTTCAGTGCTGGGAACATAAAAATCTTGGGTAAATGATAGTGTCATTTCTCCTTTTATATGGTCTGAGGTTATTAAATCCAATGATCCACAGGAGATTTCAGACAACACTAGTATTTTTCTTATATTTAAAAGGCAGAGCTTGCTTGCTCACTAAAAACCTTTAAAACATCGCAACTTTTAAAACCCTACAATTTCAGAGTTTGAGGTACTGTGACCTGTATTTCAAAGACTCCACTACAACAGCTACCTTGTAACATTCTTCTAGATACTGAAACACACCTAAGTCCATTTAAAAAAAATAAATACATAAATCAGACTCTACCTTGCAACATTTTTCTAGCTACTGAAACACACCTAAGTCTGTTTAAAAAAAATAAGTATGTAAATCAGACTCCAAATTTTTTGCCTATTCACCGTGAGATTCCAGAACATATTTCTCAGGATGTGAAACAGATCCTAGTGGCAGGAGCTGAAAAAGCTTGACACGTACATTTCAGAACTACAGATTCTTGTCCTTGACACCAAAAAGAAGAGTCTCATTGAAGAGGTTGCATGCAAAGCCATGAAGAGTTTTGCCAAGCATTTTCTATTAAGCCTGGCAAATACTTTGTCACCAAGATCCTAAAAACACATACCCATACCGTCCAACAAAACATGGCAACTAACACCATACTTCAATTGACTAAAATTTTTAGGTTTTTTTACTGCAGCTGTTGTTCCATGGCCAGATCAAGAAGCCCAGCAATCTCCTCTCCAATGCTGGCCCAACGCTGACCATTTTCTTTGAGCCCCTTTTCAATATAAAGCCTTGTTCTTTGATTTTTGTGGTAACTGTGCAAAAGCAAACAACTACCATTATTACTGATGATCTCTCTTCACAAGAAGTATAAGGTGAAATCGTTTACCTCTATCGTAGGGTCATATTCATCCACAAAGTGATTCTGAATGAGCTGTATCGTCAAGGCGCTCTTGCCTACACCACCAGCTCCAACAACAACAAGTTTATACTCTGTCATTTTTTAGCAGACCTGGTGACAAAGAAAACAACGTGAAGCAGAAGGAGTCAAGCTCCAACTAAGGAGGATGCTGTCGGTGCCTTTGCATTCAGTATCACGTTGCCGGAAAGCAACTCCCTCCCTGAGGGATGAGACAAAACGCCGTGAGGGAACGCTGTTTCTCAAACAAAACTGCCCATAGGAAACAGCACCATTACAAAGAGGTAAAAACCCAAGGATACACGAAACACTGCGAAAGATCAAGGAGTTATTTCTTGCCAGGCAAAGCGCCACCCATGAATATTCTGTGATTTTGTTCTCCGCCGCTTTCCCCCGCTGACTCCGGGAGGCCGCCCGGATTTTTTGAGGAAAGCCGGGGCCAAACCGGGGCTCGAACCGCCAACCCGGGAACCCGCCTCCCTCCCGCCGAAGGGCCGGGCTCCGCCTCACGGCCCCGCACACACCGGGCTGCGGTTTCCTCCCCCGACCCCAGGGTCGGGCGGGCCGCGGCGGGACCCCAGCCCCACCTCCCCTTCCCCGGGGGCCCGCTGCCCGCCCCGCCTCCCCTCACCCGGGAGCCACACACGGGGTCGGGCCGCCCAAAACTTTCCGGCCCGGCCTGGCACCTCGGCCCCGGATTTGCTGGAAGGATTTGGGGGATTTGGGAAGAGAAAATAAA